CCCGTCACTAAATCAACAGAGTCGAATTTCGAATTGTCGTCAACAAAAAGACGTATCTTCGACGACGCCGGCGAGTTATTTTCGCTTCCTCACCTTACGGAAATGATGGATGAGATAAAGCGTTGCGTTATTCGCGGAATTTATGCGATAAGACGACAGTTACGCGTCAACACAAAAATTCCAATGAGTGAAGCAACTACGAAAACACAATGGATACTGTGACAAACAAATATACGAAGGCTGCCAATAATTGCGGTATACATTGCATTCGGCGATCGTTTTTGTGCGAAAACTTTGTTTGTGTGTCGTCAGGCAATATTCCAACATTGTTATGTAAAGTGACGTACACGGAAAGAACAATTTTGTTGAAGGGTCTAAAAATTTTGCCAAATATAGATCTGAAAATTAATTCTTGTTGAATCATCAAAAATTTTGTTGAAATGTTAAAAATGATAAGCATTGCTATATAAAATGTTTTAATATTCTAGTAATTATTTTGAGTTTTCAACAAAATTATTTTGATTATTGAACCAAAATTATTTTCAGATCTGGATCCAGCAAAATTGTTCTTTCTGTGTACCGATTTAAAAATGGTTCTTTTCTAGCGTTTACATAATAGATTGTTATTTGTGGAATATGTGCAATCATCTCCTGCTCGTGGTGTACTTCAACCATCATTAGAATTTATCGACTATAGAAACTCAAGGTATTGTACATGCCACGCAACATTTGTTTCCCATGGCACACATTGGAATCATCCAATGAAAGATAATGCGAGGGTATGAGCAATCGAGCTCATTCTAAGACTATAAGGCCCATTTAAATAAACCGATTTTTTAATGTCTAAATGATTTAATATGATTGTCCGATTGTAATTTTCGATATTATATTCATGTTCGATGAATTCAATATCGCAAGAAAAAGGCATGTCACACATCGTTTTCAGAACTATTTTTCTAAATTCCATTTAATTAATAATAGTTTAAAATAATGATTATTTCGTAAAAACTTTAAAAGTAAAGCGCTGACGAAAAATAAAATTGGGGGTATCGCTAGCACCTTGAGTTCGCACGTCAAAATTCGTTGCAATTTTCTGCTTAATTACTTATTAATGATTTTTTATTGTGATTTAATTGTCTAGATTGTTGAAGATACCCAATTCTAATTGAAAATAATCATAAAATCTGATGTACATGTAGAGATAAATCGTGCAGAAAACTAAGTTCTCATTTTATGTCGAAACTTAATTTCTTTCTCTCTCTCTCTCTTTATCTTTCTTTCGCCATCTCTGTATCCTTATGTCTATAATATCTACCCATCTATCCATTCATCTATCTGTCTGTCTATCTGGTTCATCTATCTTTTGAATTTGATGTGTCTAGAAAAAGGCTTGGCCCGAGAAGGGTTAAATGTCAACTGCAAGTTTCTCACACAGGAGAAGACCTTCGTGTTACTAATTTCCATGGCGCAACCCGCATAGAAGTCGGCTGCCGGCGCCGCCTTCGAACGTAAATCCATGCAAAAGCCGTGCGGAGCGGCCGAGCCTCTTAGCGCCGGCTCCAATACTCGCGCCACGTGTCAGTACACCTACGCACCTACACGTGCGCGAAAGCTCAGGCGCGAGGGCGCCTCGCTAAATCCGAGCGCGCAAGATAAGTACGAGACGCGAGAGCGCCGAAAGGAGCGACGGGGCGAAATATAAGAGCAAAAAAAAATCGCGCGACTCTTATCGTTATTATTTCCTCTTCTAATCGCCGCGCGATTCAAACTTTCCTCCTGGACGAAGAAAAAAAAAGAAAGAAAACAATCCGCACTGATCGCGAAGTAAGGCTGATAAACACAATCGATGGCGCACGTTTCCGCTCCTTCCACGCTCATTCATGCTCTTTTCGATCTGTTTATGTTTACACGCCTCGTGGCTGATACGCGAATCCGCCCGTTTTAAGTGCGTGTTTACGCGATTTCACGCCGTGCCTATACGCGCCGCAGCGAAACGCGAAACGCGTTCGCGCGATTTGCGGATCTACTCCGGCGGCGCCTGATATTACGACACGAAACGCGCACGAAACGCGCGGCCCGATACGCGCGCGATACGACTGGAAAGATCCTATATGCCCCTCGTAAACCGAGATGTTCGAGTAACGATAAAATAAATACAATACGCTCGCGCAAACAATCTCCCTCTCCCCCCCTTATAGATACTAAAAATCTCACGAAGTGGTCGTTTCGTGGTGCCGGCGTGTCGCGCGAAGTCTTAAAATTTAAATTACACGTGCCCAACGTGTCACGTAATTCTCGTTGTCACGTCACGCGTCATCGTTTATACCTCTGTGCAAAATTTATAAATCGGAAAAATAACCAGATTTGACTTCGCCTCACCGTGACGTTTGGCACAGCCAAATCGGTTTTAATCGCGCAGTAATTGAAAGCCAAACGATTTTTGTGGCGTGCCGAATTAGCTTCAAATATACGAACAGATACGCAAAATTCCATCGTTCAGTTTACTCTCTCTCTCTCTCTCTTCCCCTCCCTCTCCCACAAGTACAAATTAATCTTAATTTGAAAGAATTTTAATTCGGAGGCTTAAGAACAAGGATATATTTAACGGGTGATATCGTCGATTGAAAGATAGCGTTGACTTGTCTGTGCGAGACGATCGACGATAAGGCCGATCGGAAGTAATCGGACGCCCGCGAGCGAAAGTGTCTACTTTGGCGCGCAGCGAGGCGCGAAAGCGCAATTTTCGAGCGAAGGAGAAAGGCAGCCGAACGCACGAAAACACACGCGGCGACGGCGAGGACGGGTCACATGGTCGGGAACGCGGCCTGCACGTCGTCAGCACGTCGCGACGGGTGGCCGCGCCGCGCCGGTGCGGTGCACGCGCGTGTGTGCGCGCCGCGTTCGCGCGATCGTCTGTACAACAATAAGTAGTAAATAAAGTCGTTGACATGTAGACAACGCGACCGGCGACGAGAATAAAGGTGTTAAATACCGAAGACTGAAGCCGGCGGTGAGTTCAGTCATTATCGCGCGAACGGTCGCGCTCGGGAAAATAATAATCACGGGCGAAAGGAACGGTGGCCGTGCGAGCACATCGCCTTTGCGTATCCGAAAAAGCGAGGAATTTCGCTTCTTTCACCCAAATCGTATATCTACATGCATGCGAATATCCGCTCATCTATTACTGTACTTTTAATCAATTTTGCATGAATTTTAACCGGAAAGTCACAGTCCAAGACTAACGAAGAGGCATCTTTTTCTAGACATATCAAATTTGGTTTGGTGGTGATTGATCACTTATTAAATAAGTATTATAATTTTCATAATTAAAATTGGCCGTATATTATAAATTGGATTCCCGTGAGGGATCTGCGTGTCGCATTTTCGGCTGCGTTTTACGTATAGGTGTCAAAATCAGAAGCGCGAACGTAAGCAAGGAAACTGGAGCTGTCGACGAACCGGAGCTTCGCGACGACGCGTTTGACGCGTTGAAAGTAGCGCTTGCTGAAATTTCTTTGAAACAATTTTCGAGAGGAATGAAAGATGCGCGCGTGAAAAGGAGAAAAAGCATGCAGGACGGGTGTTGCGCGGGCGTGCTCGCGACCGCGCGCGCCGCGAGCAACAAGTAGAAAAACAGTGCCGCGTGGTACCAACCTGTCGCTCTTGTCGACCACCGCGAGAGGCGCGAGCTCCTGGAGCGGCGGCTCCGCGGATATGCCCTGGGCACGGTCGCGCGTACGCGGCTTCGTCGGCGTGAGCGGCGGCGCCGCGCTGAAGGGCAGCACGCTCAGGAACTTGTCCAGGTGGCTGCGCAGCTCCTGGATCTCGGCGTCGCGGCAACAGACGACGGCCTCGAGCTCGACGATCCTCTCGTCCTTGACGCGCAGCAGCTCCTGAAGCTCCCTCAGGGTGCCCATGCTGGCGATCGCGGCACCCCCGCCGGCACCGACAACGACGTGCGGCACTTGCGTGACCTGCGTGGTGGTGGCGGTCGTGGCGATGATGCCGATGCGGCTGTCGACGGCCACGGCGCCGTCCGTCGTCGGCAGCTGCGTCGATCCGCCGGCGGCTGCGGCCGCAGCGGCGGCGGCGACCTCGTCCTCCTCGTCGGCGCGCGGCTGCTGCGACGACGAGAAGCACAGCGAGTCGAAGCACACGCGCATAGACACGCAGGCGTCGCCGATGGGCACTCGGTATTTCGTACCCTCGTCCATTCAACTTGCTGTGGTGCGCGAGAGAGGTAAACCCATACACGCGGAGCGTCGCGACCGCGGGGACCCGACGAGGACGTCGTCGGTCGTTACTATCGCGCCAATTCGCGTGATACGCGCTCCCGAAGAGCGGCGGACCGACGTCCTCCACCGCCTCCGTGCTCCGTGACGTGACGCGACGGTCCCGTCCCGTCCCGTCCCGTGCCGTGCCTTCGTCGGCCGCCGAACGAGAGAGCGAGCGGCCGCGCGCCGGGAGAGTGGGAGAGAGAAGGACGAGGCGAGGAAAGAGGGTGAGACAGAGAGAGACGGGACGAGCGACGGCGGGACGGAGAGGAGTGCGGGGGGAGGGAAAGTGCGCGAGAGGGAGACGAAACTATTCGTGCGCCGCGCCGTGCGCCACTCGTCACACGCTCGTCGACGAACTCTGGAGTCAATTGGACGAACTGCATTATATGGATTACGCGCTGCTCCGCTGCGGGAAAGAGCGCGCGCTTCTTATTCGATCGTGGTAATAAAAGTTAAGAAAGTCGTGTAATGTAATGTTTTACGTAATATTTCTTATGTAATATCTTTTTATAACTCTTCTTAATTTTTATAACCTTTTAATAACTTCGACGTTTTGACAGCATTACGATTAAAAATTATAGTTAAAAGCTATTGAATACCAAATAAACAAAACGTATTTTACATAATTATACATATATAACAGCTGACGTTTGATAATGAAACTTAATAATAACCCAGATAACCAAGCGTGCGACACCCGCACAAAGTACCACTATATCATACTTAAATGGTAACCAAATTTATTATTCTTACAGATATCTTATATAAATATCTTTGCAAAAAAGAGCGTCCATATAGTATATCTGTGCACGTATATATGTATATGTACAACGAAATATGTACAATTTATAAATAAAAAAAATCGTTATATTTCAATTGCGCTATTGAGATTTGTCATTGCGGAAGAAGGGGCTCGCTTCCTGTCCTTAGCACGGTTTTCATGGGCTCGTCGAAATTACACTGAAGTTTCTCACTTTTCTGCACCTCCTCCGGCTCCAGGAACGCCTCGTTCAAGCAGACGTTGTTCAGGCTGACGGCGCTGTTTGAGAAGATTGCCGTGCCAAGATTCGGATTTTTCATGTCGACACTATTGGCACGGTTCTTCGACGGCGATTTCGCGGGAGCGTCGTCCTTATCGGGCTGCGCGTGCGACGACATTATGTCGCAGGCCTTCCCGAGAATGATTAAACTGTTGAATATTCGTAGTGCTACCAGTATGAGATAAGCTAATAATAGAAGTATGATATTAGCGGGTCTCGCGGACGGCGTCAGGGTCGTACACAGTACGCGGGCTATGGCGACTCCCAGAGGAAGCGGTATGAAGCCCATTCGGCGCGCGACCAAGTCCGAGGGATCCGAGAACGCCGTCTCCCGGCGCGTCTGCGCCATGTCGTAAGCCAGGCTCACGGTATAGTCCCTGTAGACGGTCGACGGCAGCTCGTTGAAACGCGTGATGAACGCGTGTTTCACCTTTACGGAAATAAAACATGACGTTAGCGCGGAAGATAATTTGTACGATTTGGCATAAGATTTTTGCCAAGCAAACGAGAAATTATCCGTTAAAAATGATCCGAATATATAAGTTTAGCAGCAAGAACAATCCGATTTCCGGTCTGATATTTTTTTCCCCGTTTACACGCGCCATTCGTACGATATACAATTTATTTTACGATACAAACCCAATCGACGAGAACTTCCGCCAACAACAGTATCACGCAGTCGGGTAGCAAGACGGCGAAACGGTCGCTGTGCCACGCGTACTCTTTCATCGTTTGCAGACTCACTGCGAGGAGCAGCATAATCAGGTGGAATCTTTCCCTGACGTCGGCGCAAGATAATTGGAACAAGTTGTTCTTGTCAAATTTCTTGAAGACAGAGCCCTTCAGTTCTACAAACTAAAAGTACCCCACGTGAAATACTTTGTACAAAATAGAAAGCGACCGCTTTACGTTTTCTAGCGCACTTACGTTGTTCGACATCATAATCGTAAGAAGGGCTTTATTACTGCTGTTGATTGCCACATTTAACGTCGTCGCTTGGAACAGTACCAGTATACTGTGTAACACTTTATGCGAAAGCAGTCAAGGTGTAAACATGTCTCGTTGCGGCTTAAGCCTATCCTCTTTTTTTTTCGATCGCGATCGAATAATAATGCGATTAATTAAAGGATACACACATAAGCGACGGCGAACAAGAGATGCGGCAATGTACCGAAGTGTTTCGTACGGGTGGAATTCGAGCGCGATCGCGGCTCGGTGGCGGTCCAAAGCAGGGCGTCTATAGTGTCCTGGCCGAAAGCGCTGAAAAGACGATCTCCCACTTCTAACATGTTATAAAATATGTATAGCTTTATAACCGACTGACTCTTAACTAAATGATACATCATGGAGGTGTCCACCTTCCAGGTTACTACCCAGCAACCCACCACCACGATCCCTTTCAACAGATCGCACACTTCGGCCGGGCTCAGATATCTTTCCGCACTTTTTCCATGCTCCTTGTCACTCCTACAAATAAAACCGGTAATTATAATTTCCAGGTGGACAAATATATACGTCATTCCAAATCGATATCTCTTGTATTCTCTAAAATCGATACCTCAGGTAGTGTCGTAAAGGTCTGGTGATCACCGCCCATAAAGCCATTGCGAACCTCAGCGGTAAAAATGTATACACAAATAGAAAAGAGTCGGCACACTGCAATGAGAGAAATAGAGAAAAACATATAATATTTAATATAATCAATTATTCTAAGAGATTATCATTCTATGTTTTTGCGCAACGATATTATATACCACTGTACATACCTGAAGGAACCCATATGCCATGAAGTTTTCCACTTCTCTAGGAATTTTCATAAACGAGTAAACCTTCTCCCTTCTCGCGGAGAATCTCTCCTCATCGTGCTCCAGCTGATAACCCCTCGTTAATTCCGTCCTTAAGAACTGCATAAACGATACTCCTATTAAAAAAAAAAAACAGAATATATTTATCAATTAAACCATAAAAAAATTCAATGTTATTTGCGCAAACTCTATAATGATCTATAATATCTATAATAATAATTACAAGTAACGACTAATAATTAATAATACAAAAATGCAGGATTTATAACAAATATAAATAATTTCTAATAATTTTAAACGAGCTCCAGAGAATGTCGAGAATATAGTACAGTAAATATAAAAGAAACCTGCTGTATAAAAACTTGTAAGGATTGTTTCAGAATTTGTTTCTTTCTTTATAGTTCCACATTTGTAGTAGATTTTGTAGAAAATCTTTTTTTTTTTTTTTTTATATAGCTTCACATTTTGTAGTAAATTTTGTAGAAAATCATAGAGCCGTTTCGCTTTCGGGCAAATTGCGATATCTTATCTAATCTCTTGGAGTGCGTGTGCGTCCCTGATTTTTTTTCCCACCTGTTTTACACACGCACGTAAACAACTGCCACGCAAAGCGCACCACCGACAATCATCATCGCTGTCGGTTTACTCACGTTGCTTCCTCTTCTGCGCATCCTGGCCGTCGGATAATTGCGGCCTGCAGTGCAGGGGATCCACGTTCTCCACGCGCTTGCCGTGGGACGATGACACATGAGTTTCGGACTTGCCAGTACCGCGGAATCTGATCGTCCGCTTCTCCGGCGGCCAGCTTCGCTCCACACTCCCATCGTCGACGGCCGCCGCGCTCTGCATCGCTTTCTCCGTCGAAACGTTAACCTCTCTCAACGTGCGCTCAACGCTCGGTCATTCTACGAGCCCGCGACGAGTCTCACGGCGTGACCACGTAGCCGCATCCCCGCGAACTTTGACGTCGCCCTCGCCTGGCTGTGCTGCGGGCGAACTGTCACAACACAACACGGCTGACGGCACCTGAGCGCGGGGAGACGACTCTGACGACTGAACACTGGACTGCACTGGACTGGTCTGACTGGTCAGTGGTCACTGGCTCACCTGGAGTTAGTGGATTGGCGACGCGCGTCGCACACGCGACGGTGGTGACAGCGCTGATGATGCTCTCTCTCCCTCCCTCTCTCTGTCAATCTAATGTATAGGCGGGAAGCAGATTTCTCTCATGACTCGCTTCTGATCTGCCTCGCACTCTATTAAGTCTAGTATTACGTGAGATTCTGACCATTTTTTTGCTGATACATTTGTAAAATTTTCAGTTTTTTTCTGATAACGCTAAATTATGACCGTCGATAATTTATGTTCTTCTCGCACGTATGTATGTATGCGCATACATATACATACTTATCATAGCAATTAATTATTTAGAAGTTGAATTATCAGCTGTCGATAAAGTTCGTCTTGTAAGAACAATTTATTGTAAATATTTTACATATTTGTAAAATATATTTTATGTGTGTACATATTTTTTTGATATGGCTTTTACCGTTTGATCTTAATATAATTATACTTGCCTTAATATGTCCAAGCTGCGGTTATATTTAAATCATAAAAATTGCATAATTAAATTAGATGCATGAAGTATATATTTTCCGCCTCTTCTTAGATGATGATTCTTGATGCATAATGTCTCAAGCATTGTGTAATTTAATTATGAAATTTTTATTATCTCATTTTATTATCTTTATTTATTTATTTCATTTATTAGAATTATTTTTATTTATTTCATTCATTAGAATTATAATTTAATTAATTAATTTTATTATTTAAATAAGCTCAGTTACATTAAGACACATTCAAACAAGAAATATATTGATCATATACCGACTGTCACGATGATGTCACACTGCCTTGGCTACGAATCTGATTTGAATCAACAACAGTCCGAGTACGAGTCTAAGGCAAGTTTCCGTGTGTGATTCCAGGATAGAAGCTCTTTACGACGCTCCACAATGAATACCTCGATTGCAAGCAACGTTTCAGCTCCGTCTCCCGACGCTGCCAATAATATGGAACTGCCGAGGAGTCAGAAAGTCACGAAAAAATTGTGGGTAGATACGAAGTCCTTGAACGTGCCAAACGTGCTGGATCCAGATGACTCCTTGATGAAGAAATTCCAAGATGCTCTGCGAGAGCATCTCGTCCGCGTCGACAATAGGTTGAACAGCGAAATATTAGAGCTTGTAAGCAACCGAATTTTTTACTTTTCTAAATTTAAGGGATTTATCCGGCAAATAAAGAGAAACGCGCGAAAATGTTACTCCCATTGAATATTAATTGCAAATATTTCAGGAGGCTAATATAAAAGCTGTGGAGAAGGAACGTGAGACAGAGGGTTTACAGTTGTACTACGCCCAACAAGAGATAGCCCAGCAGCAAATGACAATTGAGAAGTATCAAAATATGATAGCGAATGTGATTTCGTTGCGCGAGGAGAAAGACACGTACGTGAAGGGTGCGAAGGACGTTCATAAGGCTACCCACGCTAAATTATCCGACGAGAGGAAGAAAGAGGAGAATCTCATGCGGGAATTGGAGCAGCTTGCTGATTTGCAAGCGCATTTCTCGGAGTTGCAAACGGAGCTCGAGGGTAGCTTGGCCATTTCTAAACAGGTGTCGAAGAAGGATAAGGCGATCCAGCGAGATCTGATCGTCCAGAAGCAGCAGAAGGACTGCATAATATATAAGCTCATGGAGGAAGTGTGGAGAGTCAAAACCGAGATAGCCAATTTGGACATGCAGTTGCAGCTGAAGAATAAAGAAAAAATTCAGATAAATCAGATGATCGCCGACGTTAATGCCGATCTGGAAGCGTTGCATAAGCAGCACATGAATCTGTGCAACGCCTGGAATTCCGTTGTGCTGAATATCACCAGGCGGAATAAAGTTTACGAGCAACTAAACACAGAGCGTGAGTACGTAATGTCGCTATAAAAATTTGAATAAAATTGTAAAATTGTAAAGTGGGAGAGACAATAATACAGTGTCACGATTAAGTCGTGTCTATGACTTTAATAGGAAGAAATAGTTGCTTCGATAAAATTCTCTCTATCACTTCTCATAAAAAAACTGCAGCAACGAATATTGTTTCAGGAAACTATGCGAATCCTTCACTACGTTACATACGGAAATAGAGAAATTGAAGAAAGAAACTTATAAGGAAACAGAGAACAATGAGAATCTGACCTCGTTGCACATGCGATTAGAAAACAATATACAGATTAACACGAAATTGATGGAAATGGGAAATGACAAGCTCAGTAATTTGGAATCTGAATTAGTAAAAGTGGCAAAATTTAGTGAACAGGAGCAACACGAATTCGATTTAGCTAATAATGTATATAGAATGTTAATATATATTTAGTGAAAAAAAAACGCAAAATGTTAAAATTATTAATGAAATGTATCTACAAACAACGCCTTAGTTTTATGCGATTATATTATCATTTATGACAGTCTCGTATTTTAGAAATGGCGATATTTGTTACACGAAGAGGAAGAAACGGATAAGGAATTTGCAAAATTTCTGAATAAGCAAAACGAGCTGGAAAGAACAATATACAGCAAACTGGAGGAAAAAGTTGCGCATAATAAAGCGGCGCGATATTTGAATAAATTATTGTTAGATTCTAAGGAGACAATGCAAGAGCACGAATTGTTATTAGTAGAAGCGGAAAACTCGTATGGCAAAAAGTTACTGGAATTGGAGCAACTTAATTTGTGGAAGTCTCATGAGAAGGCGGAGTTAGAGGAACTCGTGCAAAGTAATAACAAAAAGGGAAAAGAGATAGATGAGATTCAGAAAGAGATCAAGAAGTATGACACAGCAATCGAGAGGAGACGAGTAAAAGTTATCAGCTTGAATAAAGCCATTGAGGAGGCAAGAACATTAACTAATTCTATTAGAATTCTATTAGAATATTAAATGTTTATTACCCTGTTACTTATCCCCTTTTACAGATAGTGTCGCATAGAGAAAATGGCGAGGTAAATCCTCTTGACACGAAGATAAGAACCTTGGAAAAGAATATAGAAGAAATTCAGCAGAGTAATCAGAAAGCCCAGCAGTTATGGATTCGCCGAGAAGGCTATATGATCACGCTGAGTCAACAGAGAGATTTACAATTGCAAGGACTTAATCTTCATAATAAAGAAATTATGATTATGGACCAAAAGAATTTGAAACTAGAGCATGCTTTGGACGTGCTCAGTAAGGAGGAATCGAACATGGAGAGAATATTAAATCTTCTGCAGCAAAGAGTGGTACAAATGAATGCGCAATTGGTAATACAGAAAGGCCTGAAAGAGGAGTTGGAAGACAAAAATTCTATCGCGAAAACCGAGGGGATCCAATCTCTCGAAGATGCAGAATTAAATCTGATAAAGCTGCAGAGCGATTTGAAACAGTCGTATGAGGAAAAGGCACTTTTGAAGGACAATTTGGATGCGGTGCAACAAGAAAGTTTAGCGTGGGAAAAGAAAGTAATATATTTTAGATATTAAATATTATATATTTTTTGTTTCGTGTCAAACGAAGTATCGTGATCTTTAATTTGTAACTTTTAGGTGCAGTTAATGCAAGAAACAGTAAAGAGATTGAAAGACGAACGCAGCAGCGATGGCGATATCACAGCGATGAAGAGTGAAATTCATAAAATGGAAATGCGCCTGTCGCATTTGCGTAGGGCGCAAGAAAAGTTGATCCACGACATGGAGTTTTGTGTCGCGCGAAGGGATATAATATTGGACAAAGTTATGAGCAAATTTAAGAAAGATCCCAAGGGGCAACACAATCAGAAAGTTATATTCTGCAAACGTCTTGCAGATCAAAAGTTGAAGATAAAACAAACCGTGAAGGTAAATTCCACAACTTGCAAAATTATACCTGAGTGATATAATTTTTCTCTAATTAAGTGTTTATTATAGGATACAAGAAAGATTGAAAATAGAATATTGGAGTTGGAAGATCAAATGAAGAAGACAGTGGAGAAATGTAACGAATCGCAGGCAGCACTGAAAATGGTAGAAGGTGATATTCCAAATGTGGATCAAGGGATTATGCAAGTAGAAGCTATTAAATATCACGTATGTAACGCGAATAATTCATTTCCCTAATTTTAAGATTCGAAATTATTTGTCTATTTTTTTAAACTATATGTCTATTTTTCAATTTTAACGTAATTGTAATTAGAAAATCTTCTGTTACGTGCAGAATTTGCAGGCATTAGTTTTCAAGCAACGAAAAGCTAAAATGCTGCAAGACATTAAAAGTGGCCGATACAAAATGTTTTTCAAGAGTGAAGCTACATTAAATGAGGAATTCCAAAATGAACAGATTCTTCGTGATTATTTAAAGCATGTAATGGAACGCACGGGTCAAGATTTCCCTTTATTGAAAAATAATATTCAAAAAATACTTTTGACATTAGAAATACTATAAAAATCCCAATAATTATAAAAAGACGAAACGACGCAATATATTTTATAACAATAATTGTAACTGTTTATAACAACTGCAGTAAATGTGTTTTTGATTGTATTTGAACGTATGTATACTATACTTATGCAGAATGAACTCCTTTAATAAAAGTCTCCATGGATGGAATCGGAGTGTCCGGTAAAATGCCATGTCCCAAGTTAGCAATATATCGAGTTTTACCAAAATTTGACACCATCTTTCGTGCACGATCAACGATTTCATCCTGAAGAGATAACAATGAATATACTCAATATTTTTAATAATATGTGAATATTATTTCTAGATCAGTGATTGTTACTACTAATTAGATAGTTACTATTACAAATTATTTTTTTAAATCAAAATTAATATAAAATTTGTATATAAGTTATAAAACAATTGATAAAATAATTATATTCAAAATCAAAATTATATAATTTTTTTTATAAGAAATAACATACCTGTGAAGAATACATTGCACAAGGATCCATATTACCTTGTAGTGTAACATTAGGACCAAGCTGTTTTCTGGCTTCTATGGGATCTACAGTCCAATCGAGACCTATAACTTCATAACTTTGATCCATCGCAAGAATTTTTAAGGAATTCATAGTTGCGCCTTTCGGAAAAGCAATCTAGAAAAACAAATGTTTAATATTTATATACTTTTGTAAAGTAATTGTGTTTATTAGAAGTAGCTATGAAAAACATTTTACCATAGGCACTTCTGGAATATCTGCTTCTTTCAGCTGCTTTCGTACACGTTCGCTAATTTGTTTAAGGTATTTAAAAGAATAATTTGTAAACAATGCGTCGTCCAAATAGTCCCCATTGCTTTCAAATACTTGAAGTAACTTGAAAAAAGAAAATAAATGTTAATTTTACTTTTGACTTATGTAACTGTTATATATACTACATAACATGTTCTAAGAGTTCTTTTCTCACAGAAGAAAAAGTTATACTTTTAATTATACCTGAGCACCAGCCTTCACTTGCATTACTAAGTAATCCACAATAACGTCTGTAATCATCTGTAACAATTTATGGGTCTCTTCTGGATACTTATATAACCACGATCTCGCCTTTGCCATTGTAGAGCTACCTCCTCCTTGAATCATGTAGCCCATCAGAGTCCACTAAAAACAAATTAATTATTTTACATTGCGTATTCCAGATTCGTTGCAGAGTTGTTTTAAGACCGACAAATAATCGGCGCACAATTTGCTAGATATGGAGTTGGAAATTGTAAGAGATTCGCGATATTTTTCATCTTTGATGATATTTTCTCGTCTTTGTTAATTATTTTTATTACTATATAATTATTTATAATAATAACGTACAATATAACAGAAATACGAACATTCTCATATCAAAGACATTTTCAATTAGTTTTATACTACGGGTCTTTTTAGATAATATAAATACTTACAGGAGCTCCGGTGAATCCTATCAATGGCACTCTGCCATTCAATTGGTGGCGAGTCAGTGTTATAGCATCCCCAACGTACTTCAGAGCTTCGTTCACACTTGGTCGTACGAGCCGTGCTAAATCGCTAGGATCGGCTAAGGGCTGAGGCAAGACTGGACCCTAACAGACACTTCTTATTTACAGAGAATAGAGAGACAAGCAATGAATATGGAGTTATATATTAATGAACACCATGATTGTTGTGTAAAAATACATAATTAGAGGAGAGACTACACTTACTACTCCCGGTGCCATCTCCACCTTCAGGCCCATCGCCTGAGGGATCACCAGGATGTCTGAGAATATTATACTGGCGTCCAGGTCGAAGCGTTCGATCGGCTGTAGGGTCACCTGGGCCGCCAACTCGGGAGTTTGGCAAACGGTGAAGAAATCGTGCCGGGCTCTGACCTCCTGGAACTCCGGAAGGTACCTCCCCGCTTGCCTCATAACCCAAACTGGCACCCTGTCGACCGGCTCCCCGCGTGCCGCCCTGAGCATCCGATCATTTCGCAGGGGTGGAAAATTTTGCTCAGTCATTCCGACAATCCTTCGACCGTTTCACGCTTCACCTGAGTTTTATTCAGTTCTGAAAATATAATAAATTAATAAATAAATTAATATAATAAATTTTCTTAGCATGTCTTTATCGAGAGGTTTTTTTCCTATTTTCGATTATAATCAAGTGACTCGCAGAAAATACGTACAGTGGCTAGTCTCAACTGTTGCAAGGTGCGCAAAAACTTTTGGTCGGCGTATTTGCAACTTCACAGTTCGGATTTATGTAGTAAGATACAATGTACATAATTTAATAGTAAACTAAGTATCGTCTCGTCTTTGATGATAACCTCTTTACACCTACACTACGTTACACTTTCTGCACTTTTTGCACTTAAAATGAAATAGAGGTTATGAAGATTGTAAAGGTTATGTATATAACGTTAATGAAGAAAATTGAGCGATACGACTAATACAAGAATACTTTAATTACTAAAATATATCAATAATTGAAATTTTTCTCTTTCTCGCATAATCGTCAAAATTATTAGAATGTGATGTAAATTATCGTGAGGTAATAAACGCGCTTATTGGCTGACTCAGCGAGAGGCAATCGAGTCTCGATCATGTCCATGCTGACCAATGAGTGCGCAAATGTATTTTCTGAGAATGACGTGTAAACACTAAACACAATAACACATTATTTTCTTTTCCCATTATTTTTCGCTCAATCGAATACTTAGTTAAAATTCACGAAAAATGGGAAATTCAGTAAAAATTTAATACATTGACATTTTAATCAGAATTTTAATTTTCGAAAATTTGATTCAAGTAACTTCAGTCTTTTAATAGTTTTGACGATTTTTCGGATCCGAAGCATATATATTCTAATTATTACAGTAATATTTTAAATCTTGGATAATATATATTATTAAAATTACCAAGTACAATCTTTATTAATATAATTTTGATAATTTTTCGAATCCCAAGACATATATAATTCTAATTGAATTAAGTGATATTTTTAATCTTGGATTATATATATATATATTGTAAAAATTATATATATTACTAAAATTTCTCTGAAATGTAACATATAACTTGATGAGTTTTTCTTACGTCAATGCTATTTTCTCGCCTGTTTCGCATTTATTAGAATAAATTGTTGCACTGCCGTTTTAACCTATGACTCGTTGGATCTACGGGTAAGGACCAATCACGTATGACTGGTGCTCAGAGTGTGCTCTGTGAACGCGACCATTGTTTATTCTTCGCTGTTCCCCGCAGTTCCGCGTGCCGAGAATGTCAGACTATCAGCTTGAGGGTTTCCTAATCAAAACAATTTGCTCGTGAGCTTTGAACTTCAAAAGTGACCTGCCGTGTCTGGACAGTAATCGGAATCGGGACAGTATCGTGGAATCGTATTATAAAATATAGATTAATCGTCGAAATATAGCACAGTGTTTGCGCTTGAAATTTGGCTATTTGGCACATATTCAGTAAAATTTTATTTTATACCGTGACCTCAGTTCAAGAATTTTTGGATTTCATTAACTTCGGTGTGCGATTCTGTTTCGATAAATTTCAGAAGAAACTGTACAAGCCTTTGTTCTACGAGATAAACGATGGATGACGTGAATATTCACGAAATATGTTTCGGTTTAGACGAGCAATCGGACGAGGATGAGGAGGATTGGATCAAATTAAGCTGGATCAACAGTCAAAGTGTTGACAAGGAAAATTTTCAATCACCACAGAGGGTGAGAGCAATATATATAATTAACGTAATTATATAAAATATGCTGCGATTAGAATTTCAAAACTTGTACAGGCACAAATTCTAAAGTATAGAAACGAATCGACGAAATGCTCAACATTTTCTATTTTTATTAAAGGATTCGGATAACGAGATAGCGCAGACGAAGGATTACGATGATAAAGTACCCTTTACAAATGCAGAACCAGAAGATATATCCGACGGTATATCAGTCATAACGGAAAGCGACATAGATGCTGTCAATACAAATCTCCAAATTTGTCAATTTGTCGATCGTAAGCCATGCAGGCAAATGCTGGAAGTAAGTAGACAAGTGTTGCAGTAATTATGCTTAGTCTCGTTTTATCTGAGATTACAGGCCTGTTCTCTATAGCTGAACTGGCTGCACTAGTTCAGAGTTTATCTTTCTTCCTCCAATATAGAAAGATAAACTGTGAACTAGTGCAGCAGTTTGGCTATAAAGAACATGCCTTATACTTGAAATATCTTCATTAATGTTATCTAGATCATAGGATTTTAATTTCTTCTTTTTTTTTATTACAGAGAAGTATCTGGAACATTCTCATTGCTTGTGTACTTGGTATAATTATCGGTTTGGTTCTCAGTCACCTTTTCACAATTCCTGAAACTCATCCGGTCTCAAATGCTGAAAGTCTCGAGACTGCAAGTCGTAACATTGTCAATACTTGCAAGGAATTGACAGACGGTAAAAATAAGTTACAAAAATTTTGTAAAATGTCCGTAATCTGTTGTAGATTCGTTATTCACGTCTCAATTCTTATTTTCTAGTGAAAACTATGTTGAACGAGATTAAAACGCATATGCCAACTGACAGGAAGATTACGGAGCAACTTTTTGCGCAGTTTTCCGAAATTTCCGATTTCTCTAAAGCAAATGGTAAACCTATTGTGGTTACCAAAGAATTTTTCAATTCTACTCCACGTCCGTTGGATCAACTTCAGGCATCTCTACGTGTACTATCATCGTTGGCAGTTATCTACGACGATAATAATTTGAAAAATGAAATAAATAAGACACTGGATATTGTAAACAGTACAGAAGCATTCTATGACACACTGGCGTTATTTACTAATAGCACACAAGATGAGTACAAACCTGTTGTTTTGAAGTAAGTATTACAATATACATAATAATATAAAGAAAGATTTATTTCTAAATTGTAAATTATTATTTAAATTATGTATTGCAGCTTTTTGCAGCACAGCAATGATAAGATGCATACTACTTCTAAGCTACTTCTCTCTGACTTAGCAGAAAAAGTGAGCAAGATAACATCAAAAGTGTATAACAAATATGCTAAAGATGGGCACAAATTGAATAAGAAATTGTGTCATTTGAAAAGTATACTACCCGACGATAAGCTTTTAAAACAATTGACCGAGAATAATCAGCTGTTGAAAGATTATGACAAGTCTTGTTTCTCAAACGATACGAAAGATTTAAATGACAGAACGACTGCGAAAGGAAATACAAAGATCAAGAATACAAAGTATGTCAGAGAAACCGATGATAAAGTATTGCACGCAAAATATGATAAAAAGAATACTCATAAAATTCATGATAATAATAAAGAGAACTCTTCGAAAGATAAAAAAAATAAGCAAAATGTAGAAAAATCTATTCCTATGAAGTAAGTATGCATGAGTGATAATATCCAATTTTTTTTATTCTTCTATTGTAAGTTATTTTAATTATTCTGTCATATAATAGGATTTTGCAAAATGCCGGCCGTAAGATACATAATACCTCTCAGTTACTGATCTCTAAGGTAGTAGAAAATACGATCAAATTAAGACAAGAATTGAACAAGAAGCTACAACACTTGAAAGACATACTACCAAATAGTGGTGAATTCTTAAAACAATTGATGGAGGATGATGAAGGAGACAATAAAGGGTCGAAGTACGAAGGAAAGAATGATGACTCACAATCAAATGTAATACAAAAAAATAGTTTCGATAATATTTTAATGCCGCTGAAGCATACGTGTCCACTTTCAACCGATTATTGTCCGAAGTTTAATATTAACACGAGCGCATTTGACACCGTACCAAATGTAAGTTATAGATCTATACAAAATTATTAATTTCTCTTAGGTTTTTAAATTATAAGTATGAATAAAGTATATCCGGAACATAAATATATTTACAGATTGTATAATATACAGAAATTCATACATAAACGTAAATAATAAATTTGTTTCAGCATAAGACAAAGAATTATAAACATAAGAAACATGATGCAAATAGCAAGAAAACTGTAATGGATTATGAAAATTCTGCAAAAACTTTACCTGCAGAAGGAAAAGGCGGGTCAACGAAGAAAGATTGTTTTAAATCGAATGAGCCTACCAAAAAGATCGTTAATGACAAAGCAAATTATGAAGAAAACGATATATCCTCTCAAAATAAAATAAAGGACTATAAATCAGAGCACACTGTTAACTATCGTAAATCTAAACATCCTTCGTTCGACAGTCGCGCAATGAAGCAAGATAATCAGCACTATACAAATACGGACAAAAGGAGCGACAGCAAAAGGTATTAATTTCCAACAAGATATAATTTTCTGTAATATTAACTTACTACGAATTCAAATAACTTAATGCGCTTACAATAATTATGAGTCTTGAAGAGTATAAAAATAAAGACTCTTTCGTGCAGGTATTATGAGTATAGAGAGTATAGGAAACAACGGCAGCTTGACGATTCTGATTGGTATTTTCGACGAGTTCATGCTCGTAGAAATGCACGAAGACATGCAGAATATATATATCATTAGGATACCAAATGCTTTTGGATAAACTGTTGATAAATTGTAAATTGTCGACACAGATATATGCAGAGAGATGTATGGGATATTTTTGCACACATATTTTTCTTGTGTACATAAAATATCCCGTATCAACGCATATTCAACACTCTTAAATATTCCTTGAATATCCAAATGATGTGTATGTAAATATCCAGACATCGAAATATTTATTAATATTGTGACAGATATCTATACTGGAAAGAAGAATCCAAAATCGAAAAAAAAAATTAGGACTTTTAGAAATTATAGATATCGTACCTCAAACAGAGAAAAGGAAATACAAGAGAAATTACATCATCAGAGATATACGACAAATAGAATATGGTGCGTATTGTATCTCATGTACTATATTATATTTACTCTTGTAGTTTCTGAAATCTTTCTTTGAAAAATTATATTTTCTTAACGAGCTACATATGATTTCACGTATATTTACGTGTTTTATATATATAACTTTATATAAAAATTAATAAATTTAACGAATATTTGGAAATTTGACATAATGGATATTCAAGAACATTGGAAGCTTACAGGAATTATCTGTAATATGTCGTCTGTAATAGCATCAGTATGTATGTGTTTTGCAGTCTCTATTGCAATGTGATATGAAAGAGTATGCATTTCGAGCGATTTAGCGAGTACACGAGGATTATTGATAATCTTTAAGCAGAAAAAAGCAACGGTCGGTTTTATTATTTCTCAACAAACCTGTTTTTATTAAAATTGTGGCTTTAATTAGCATTAATATTGAAGAATAAATTATGCTTCGATTTTGACTTTGGATAAAGGGTTTGTTTTTTTAATAGTGGCAGGAGGAACAAGATTAGGCGTACTATAACTTGTAGGAAACGAAGATTTTTTTCAAATATTCGATTTGATTTTGGATAAAAATCTGGTTTCTTGGATAGTGGCAGGATTATGCATAATTTATATTATGTTACAAAAAATAGAATTATTAACTATTTCAAATTTATGAATTAATCAATCACAGAATATTTAAGGTTTCATTGTTCTACAATTTCATAAATTTCTCATGTAACGGAAGCGTAGCAAATTATAAATTTAAATGATTATATAACATTATGGGTCAAGCATAATCATTAATATGAAAAAAGTTAACTCACAATTAAACAATTTTACGGATTCTTATAGTTTAGAAGACCATGAAATACTCTTATGTACTACATCTTGTAAGAAATGAAGATTTTTTTCAAATATTTAATGTAAAAAGATCAACCGTTATTTTCTTCTGATTAAAATATGTCCCAAATTTTTTCTCGGACACTAATACCATTTCGACGATAATCTTCAGCAAGTAAAATTAAGTGAAAAGTAAACTCAACGATTCCTGCGTGCTCCCCAAATCTCTCGAAGTGCATTCTCTTGTTGCGTATGCCATTAATGAAATGAATCTCATTAGTAGTAAAAAGATTAAGGTGACGTAGATAGGATCTCTGAACTCGCAATCATTTTCGCGCAAATTCTATGTGCAATTCGGGCGCATCAAGGAGAGTAACATGTATGTCATGACAATGATGCTGTGATTGTGGTGAACCAAGTGGTGGTCTCGACGAGAGTACGACATTGACAAAGCGACCTCGTCTATTTAATAGTATTACCTTAAACTGAGTCGCCCCCTCCCCCCCGTGTATAGTAACTTTCTACCATCTCGCGCGGAACAGTATATAGAGGTAACAAAGTGATAAAATGAAGTTATATGTTTAGATAAGTAAGAGATCAAAAGAGAAAATATACATTTTTATAATATATAACATATAATACATTATTTAAAGTTATACATGTAAAATATATATATTTATAGTTACCTTGTAACAGTTTTTATGAAAATAAACGATGTGTTAAACAAAAAAAATATATATATATATGAATAAGAATAAAAGAGCTTTAACAGCTATCTACATCATCTGTGTGTGCACCCGGAATGAAAAGTATAGCGACAGATGTGTTACAGAAGTATTATGTACCTAGAAATAAAAGTTATAGAAAAATTAAATGAATATAAGTTCTATTTAATGTATGAAAACAATAAAGATTGGAATCAGCTTTGCTTAAAATGATTGCAATTTAATTACAAAATGCGACAAAAAAAAAGGACCAAGTTAAAGAACAAGTTCTGAGAGCTACTTGCAGCAAATTTATATATATTGTTTACATGTTTAATTTTGTGATTACAAAATTAAACATGTGGACAATGTATTTAAATTTAGACACTACAAGCTGCTTTGATATTTTTCATGTTTCTATAACGTTTATAAATTTGTGAAAATTCATAAATTCCCAAAATACAAATAGAAATTTTCGAGTGTACAAGTTTTCAATTTGATTCCTAACGTGTATACATGGAGTTTACCCAACTATCGTCAAGAATTTCGTGGAAAAATATATTTTCGTAAGGAATCTTGGCTCCCCCCTCCGTCTCCCTACGTGAATTTTCGCGAGTCATGATATCTGCGCACTTTCGTGAACATGCGATGTCGAGTTTGCGTATTCAGCGATTCCGATTTATCAATATTTCTGTTTATCTTTTCTGCCTGAAATGGAATTTAGGAGCAATATTCATAATTTTATCTCACATCGTCCAAAATCATTTTCAGAGCCGGTCTTATCTATTTTCGATTAGCTTTAATCGGTCGATTACATTCAAGAGATTTTCACCAACTTGCATACTTAAAATTGAACGTATATTACTGTTTTTTTGGTCAATTTTTTGCAAATTACTTAATAGCTTTTTTTATACATGTGAAATAAATGCCATGGTTTGCAATTGATAATTCTCAAACGTAATCGGTCGATCGAAGATCGAAAGCTAATTGAAGATGTAAAAACAGTTCCAAGTCTGGTTTTGAATAATCTTCAGATTTAGATTCCATACATTCACCTATAAAGAAATGATCTGGGTTGCGTTCCGTTTGAACGCTCACGCGCTGCGAGCATGATTATCCTCCGTTTAACATTTGATAAACAAGGATGGTAAAAAAAGTGAGGCGCTGTAATGTCTATTTCTGACCAACGTAGATTAACTTTAATCCAGATTTAACTTACTTTGTTATCTTTTTCTACTTTTAAGAATTAGAAAAAGTTAAAAAGTAAATAAAACCGTGATTAAAGTTAATCTACATTGATAGAAATGGACAAAAGTCATGTAAGTGCCGAAAGCGTGAATACGAAAGCAGCCGTATAAACCTGAGATGACTTTAAATATGAAATCGAATTGCGAATATATATATCCCATAATCGCGGAAAAATTGCAACTATCTCGTGACTTGCGCTAATTTTCGAAAATTCCGATGAGAACGAAACGCCGCGATTGCCATTGGCCGACTCGCGGGTCCGCCAATCAACGCCTCGTCCTCTGCGAGGAAACGACCGTTGCCGAATGCCGATCACGAATTCTCGTCACACACGACACGACATTCAGTGACGTGTCCGACGCCGGCGCGACTCGTCGGATCCCGTCGACAGTGGCCAGAAACGTGCTCGAGTTTTCCCCGTAACCAGACGAGTTAGGGCCACGAGCGCGCGTAAACAACGCGCCCGGGTCGTGCACAGATCCGCGCCGCAAATGAATCGTTCGAGGAACTGCGCTCCCACCGAACGAGTGGCACGTCGCGACCGCGGACGGAGATCCCGCGGCTCGGCACGGCTCGGTGCTGCGGGCCGCGTTGTACATCGGCACTCGACGTCGTCGTAGCGACAAAGGAGAGACTCCCGAAAACTGCTTTGTCGCAGAGATTTATTTTTGCAGTCGGAATCGCTATATTCTCTTGTGTGCAACGCGAATCTTAAAATAGACCGACGACGGCGGTCGCGGCGGTGACGGCGACGACGACGACGGCGCGGGTAGCGTACGCGATATATTTTCCGCGCGCTGACGATCACGTCAAGCGAGAGGAGCATGAGTTTTGAGGTTACCACGTCTCTGGGTGGCGGCCACAGCTGATCTCTCTCTCTCTCTCTCTCTCTCTTTCATCCTGAAAACGCCGCTCGGGTCTCACGATCCGCGAGGACCCGCGAGGACGTGGACGGGGATGAAGATGGACACCCCCTGCGAGATAATCGACGAGGCCCAGCAGTCGCTGGTCAAGCGAATTTATTACTCGGCGAGGGACGGAATGTCGATCGCGCTGTACACCCTGCTGATCGAGAAGTCCGACGCCGAGATCGCTCACCTGATTAACCAGGTAAAAACCGTGTGTGTGTACACTTGTTGCGTCACCGTTCACCACGCTCTCGAAACCATCACTCGCGAAATCGCATATTGTCGGGCCCCGCTCGTCCATTCCGACGCACATGCTCGAACGCTTGGTTATACAGTGCATGAACCGTTGAATATTGACGCTCGGTGTTGTCCGTTATCTTACTGTTAGTTAGAATAGTTATGGTTGCAATTTGCGATAAGAGTGTTATACGTAGACCAATTTGGTTTTTTCGCTGCCGTTGACACCTGACTCTGTCGGTTTTACGTTGAAAAAGAGGAGCAATATGGAGCGAAAGCATTTGAAGTAATTTTACAGTTATGCATATGTTACATTAAAAGCAGTCAAATTAAGTGATTTCGAGCACTTATTAATGGATGTGTACAATAACTGAAGATTTTAGGGAAAATAAATGTGAGAACGAACTTATTTACGTAATTAATATATACGTAGGTACTGATATAAGTAAGTGTCATACACTTGTCAAAAACTTTAGTGAAGGCATATTAAATATTAATTGATGTAAATTTTTGGCAAATTACATCGTCTTATTAATTGAACTGCAAGCGATTTGACGTATTTTTATTTAGTTGAAATAATAGAACGAAAGAATAATTACAATTTAATCTTTGGTTGTATCAGAAAGTAAACAAGTGTTTTGACGTTATTTTATAAAATATTTTTATTCATTGCAACTTGATTAATTGCAATGACATTTTGATTATTTAATTATATGTTGTTTATTTACACTTAAAATATTAAATCCATATGTTTATTAATGTATATGTAGTTTTGTTTTGTTCTTTAATACTTTTACTATTAATATAAATTCACTGATTTCATGCTTTCATTATGACACACAGATATTCTTTGTCTCGAACAAAGTTCAGCTCTGGACAAAGAAATATCTATATGTGAAAATCTATATGTATAAAGTATATGTTACAATTTCTTATCAATTTAATTTATCAATTTAATTTATGATTGCATTTCACATTCAATTGTAATTTCTGGTTTGATATATAAAAACAATAGGATTATTATTTAAAAATGTATATTGATAATAACATATATTATTTATAATACGTATATATTTCATACAAATTTAATTTGAATTATTTTTATAATAATTAAAGTTTCTGAAATAAATCTTATGTAAATGTCAATTGTGTATGTATATGTGTATGTATATGTGACATTAATACCTACAAAGAATTATTCAGGACAACTTGCAACACTTGTTTAAATGTGTAGTACATACACGCATACACAAAGAAAAAGTTACAGATGTTATTTATAATAATACTTGTCATAAAGTTTTTATAGATTCTTACAAATACTATTGTTATGTACCATTATTAATATTATAAATTATTATGCAAACTATGAAGTATTTTATAATTTCTCAAACATTATTTTAAAATTTAACATACATAATTAATCTTCTGTTATTGAATACTAAATCAATACTAAAAAACAGTTTGCTTATAACTATTCGAGATGTGGAAAGTGTAAGTCATGTATAGTAATATTTGGATTTATATATTTACAGAAAGTCTTGGAAGACGATGGACAACGATGTACACCTTTAATAATCGCCGCCCGTTACGGGCATGACAAAGTAGTCAGAATGTTGCTTGACAAGTTCAAGCCTGACTTGGAGCAGGAAGGAACGGTGAAGTACAACGGATATGTTATCGAAGGAGCCAGTGCGCTTTGGGCCGCGGCAGGTGTATATTAAAAGAATACCGTACAAACGGATGTCGCAATAGTTTTTTTTCCGCAGCGTTGGTAAGTCATCGTCTGTTCCAGGTGCGGGACACTTGAACGTTCTTAAAACTCTCGTGAAGGCAGGAGCGAACGTCAATCATCCAACGAAGACTAATTCCACGCCGCTTCGAGCGGCGTGTTTTAACGGACGTTTGGACATTGTCAAATACTTGATCTACCATCAGGCGGACATAAATATTCCCAATATATTTAACAACACTTGCCTCATGATAGCAGCGTACAAGGGACACCTGGATATTGTGAGTTATCGCGCGTATTACGCGCTTATATACGCAGATCGTGAAAACGTCGCGCGACGTCACGTGCTCGACGTTGTGCGGTCGTTGTTAAATTTTTCTAAATTTCCTCTTCCGTGATCCAGGTTAATTTTCTATTGGACAAGTCGGCGGATCCGAACAAGAAGGCGTACTGCGGAGCGACGGCGTTGCACTTCGCCGCCGAGAGCGGACACAAGGCCATCGTGTGCGAGCTGCTCAAGTCCGGGGCGCAAATGTCGAAGAACGTGAGCGGCATGACACCTTTAATAATGGCTGCCGAGCGGACGCGCGAGGAGGTCGTTGAGTATCTAGTGAAAAGGAAAGAAGTGACGAAGGAGGAGATAATAGACGCTTACGAGCTACTTGGAGCGTCATACGCTAATGACAAAGATAATTATAGTTTGAATAAGGCGTACACGTATCTGTGGAAGGCAATGAAATTAAGGTAAAGGATGTTGAACGCCTGTAACATTCATTTCTGTTCTGACCGAATCGCTGGTTTTTTTTTCTTATTACATATTTCTTTTCTTGTGTCCTAGGTATAGTGACACTGATAATATCATACGTAAGACATTAGGCTCGCCTGTGAAAGCGTATGAGAACTGGAAGGAATCCGAAACGTTGGAAAAATTAGAAAGTATCAAATTCAATCCCAACGCACTGCACATGGAGTCGCTCGCTATTCGGGAGAGAATATTAGGTAGACGTGTTCGGATACTTGAAATTATTACTAAAGTGACTGCGTTTCCTTTTTTTTCTTTTTTTTTAACGAAAATATCGTTTGTTCACCAGGTGTTCATAATCCAGAACTGCCACATCCCATAGTGTACCGGGGCGCTATATTTGCGGACAACGCCAGATTCGACCGATGTATAGATCTGTGGTTGCACGCTTTGAAGCTGAGGCAACTCAATGATATATCGATTGTGACGGATCTTCTTCGATTTGCGCAAGTCTTCTCGCAAATGATACACGTGGGCGTCGATCTGGATATTTCTCAAGTATTAAATGTTTTGGAGACAAGCGTGACAGAACTGAATAGGAACAAGGCCAAAATCCAGAATCCAGATTCCAAGGATGACATCGATCAGTGCGTTGTAAGTTCAATAAAAGAGACTTTGATCTATGGACTATATCTGGACATTACGCTACAATCGTATGCGTATTACGTGGAGTTTCGTATTATCTACGCTCCGACAATATATGTTTCCCTGTGATACTTAAGGAACGTTCTTTTCGCTTACATTGCTAACGGCAGGAATTCAACTGCTTAACTGTAAGCAAGAAAACAATAATTGATGAATTAACATAGACATTGATACATGCTGTATCATATCATTTAGACACAAAAACGTATCTCTCTACGTATTTAGAAATGATGTCTTTTGTAGGAAGAGATGGAATCGAATATCACAACGACTCTGTACATTCTAACGATTCTGACAAAACTGATGACTCTCAACGAAAACAGATGTGACGAATCTGATATCACGCAGGCACATCATCTGGTCCACAAATTGTGCGCGTTGCGGGTGTGCTTGAAAGACGGGCAGACTCTACTACATCTCGCTGTGAATGCCGAAACTCCCGTCGACGATTTTCATACCAACGATGTCTGCAAGTATGTCAAAACGCCATTGTTAAATAAAATAGCATCAGCAATCAGGATCGCATCGAACAAATTGTTTGCTTGGTTTCCAGATTTCCATGTGCAGCTACAGCACGATTATTGATTCGTTGCGGCGCCGACATAAATGCGATGGATAACGAAAGAAATACGCCGCTCCACATTATTGTCGGTTACAGTAAAGCAATTAGGTGTGTGTGTGTGTGTGCTGTTAAAAAATTAATATTCAATATTTTATTTCGATACAGATTTGATAATACTTTTTAATTTTTTTTTCCAGTGACTTTGCGACCTTACATTCTGTTATAATAGATCTTATAGAAGCTGGAGCGCATATGGATACTGTAAATAATAGAGGGCACACCCCGTACGATGCGGTCACCACGGGTAAGCTTACAGATTTTATTATCGATTTGCATATTTTGTCTCGCTTGCATTTTCGCGCGTAAAATATTTGGCTGATATTCAATTTTCTATTTCAGGTGTGGCTAAAATAATATTACGTACTCAGACCAAATTGTCCTTAACGTGTATGGCGGCTAAAGCAATTAAGACGTATGATTTGGCCTATCGTGGTAACGTTCCACGTTCACTCGAAAGCTTTATAGAACTTCACGGGCCTGGATTTAATCAGAGTTGATAAGCCTTTTAATCGTTATCGCGAGGAATCGAGGTTGTTTTGTACAAAGTATATAAATACTCAATAATATTTTTGTATAAAAAAAAAATATGCTGAATATTCGAATAATCTAAAATTCTATACATCATATGTAATTTGATATATCCTATATAAAATCAGAATTTTCCAGATCTTCCAGTGAAAGTTGAGCGATTTTCATAAAATTGTATAAAAATTAATCGCGCGAAAGTTACTTTTTACGATATTGTAAGATTGGTAACTCTTTATTCAACGATACACTGTACTGTGAGATATTTGTGAATTGTCTTTTTGTATTTAAACTTGTACTTTATATAGACGGTAAGTGTAGTATTGCTACAATAGCGTTACTGCATAATAAAATATTGAAATAATTAGCGGCCATTGTGCAGTTAACTTATGCTGTCATTTTCATATTCGATTTTAATTGTATTACTGTGATAAATAAAATCAAATTAAATAAACTTTTCACGTTAAAAACAAGGCAAATTGTGAGTTCAGACGTTTTCCACGCATTGTATCGATTACGTGCCATTTCGTTTTTCTTATCCGAAGATGCCTGCTGCAACACGATCCGGAGAGGCGTGAAATGTACGCTCGTTATATTGCCATATTAAATTTATTTAATATTTACACACGCATTCTGTATACAATCGTGAGAAACTAGGAAAATAATAGCAAAATATATAAGAATATACATTATGACGCATGATACTTTACAATATATTATTTACAGTGTTTACAGACGTCCGTTCGTCTTATCTATTTTACACATTATACAACGGCGCTCGCTTATCGATAACACTTCTGTACAAATATACACGTGTTCAAAATCTTTTGGCAAAAAGAAAAGAAAGAAAAATAAATAGAATAATCCTTAAGGCAGGTACAATCTATTCGCGGCGACAGGATTTAACGTAGGCATGTGCATCTTCACTCGCGTCTAAAGAGACGACGGTACACACACTCTCCGTTGCTCCGTAAGTGTCAGCGCGACGAAACAAAACCGGACACGCCGATTTATGCAAAATCTAATTTGCCGCCCTGTCCCTTTAGTCCTTTTAAAAAACATCGTGGAAACGTTAATGCGATCGCAACGACTGCGGAGAGGTACCCATTCATGTACGCGTTTGGACGACGCGAAAATGCGTACATTTCCAGTGCAAAAAATAAGAAATAAAAAAAACCGGTCATCGCTGCCTCGGTTGATATACTTCGTCGCGTGTAGAAGAGACGTTTCTACATCGCTGAAATTACCATTAGTCAATTGTGTATTTCCGACACGTGATTTCATTGCTCACTTGCTGAAGTGTTGTATGTACAAGTGTCTCTCTCGCAGTGCGATGTGTTGCAGTTTAGTGATGCGCAATATTTACCGACGTTAAAGTCGCTTCATACATTCGCGTATCGCGCTCGATTCCACACACGCACACCGTTCACCTCGTTTTCCACGAATGTCCAATCGACATCTCTAATGCATTAAGTGAGTAATTGCGCAAGTACATAAAAAGTCACGTCTCGCTTGTACATATATATTTTTATCACTTGGCGCAACTTGCCTCGTTAAACATAAATGTTAAAACTAATCGATCGTTTTGTCGCGCCTCGAGAGCTCACGTCGTCGAGGGCTCGACGGATTTAAATTCCTCGCAGATAAGACACGCCGTCGAGCGCATTTAAAGTTTAAGGTAAATAGAATTTCTATTCATGTCGAGAAAACAAATGTTTGAGGAAGAGCACTAAGTCGCTTCGATTCATTTGAATGTTTCCATTCGAAGTCCACGTCGCATTCCAATATTTTCCCTCGTGTATTCCTAGATACACTGGCGCGATCCACGTAACAATATATGAAGTGTACTTCTATTCGCATATTAAATTAAACGCCACATTGGCAGACCTTTTTTTTTTCGCGCGAATAATACATAATCTACATCTTTCATAATTTATAATATAACAGTGTTTTATTCCCTGATATTATATGGATATATTTATACAAATTTATATAAAAGTCAAATGCAGTCCATGCGGTCAGAATTGATTAGAGAAATATACAATCAGAGTATAAATACCGCTCGGACTTTGTAGAATTTGTTCTGAAAATTATTTCGCGCAAACGAAGAAATACAAAAGACACGCCGAGTGTGAAGAGCGTGAATGAAGAATGCGGCGAAGTTAACACGCGAAGGCACTCGTGCACGCTCGCTCGTCGTGCCCATCCTCCGCACTACGAAGATCCGAACGATATATTTGGTGGATGTTAATCCGTAAAATTGTACTTCTCGGCCATCACTTTCTTAAATAGGAGGTTATTCCTACCGTCATTTTCTCAATTGGTCCCGCTTATGAACGGCTAGCTCTACTCATCGTCGTGTTCTCAATAGACTCTGGCAATGACCCGGTAACTATCGCAATTTGTCGCTTGATTCTTGTCACAATTCACAGCTGAATTTGACGACGACTTAAAAGCTGTGTCAATTCTTAATTCGCATCTTTCTGATCGGAGGCAACCGTACTGATCATCCTCACGCCCAGCTAACTCCGTTAATCGCAGTAGAAGCTCTCTATCTCTCGAGACGGCTCTGCCCTTCTGTAAACTCAAATTTTTCTCTGCCTCTTACATTGCACGTAACGCCACGTAACCATTGCATTGTAGTCATATGCCATTGGAGCGAAAGTGAGGATCGACGAGATTTCAAATTGATAGCTCAGATATTTCAGAAGGATAACTCGATTTCGGCGATCTCAAAGAACAGAGAGATTCTACTCAAGAGAAAAATTCTACTTGAGAAAGAAAGAAGGAATTTACTGTGATTAACAGAACTACACCGATCGTCGCATATCTTCGGTTAGAGTCAAAGGCTACTGTAACAAGCCTCCATTTAGAACTGATCTATCGAAATTCAATAAAAGCGATATCTTTTAATCACACAGCGAATCTATCCGCAGTCCACTTCCTTCATTTTAAGTCAGCTGATTACTTCTCAATCTTTCTCTCATACTGTTTCCCGCTAATACTCGCATTTGCCACGTGACTACGTGATCGCACAAGAAAACGAAATCGCATTTCCATTTTCGCACATTAGAAATAGTATAGACATTGTGGTGATACAAAACAGAAAAAGATTGGTTCCGATTATTTTACAATAAAAAAATTTGACCTTTGACGTTCAATACAAATGGCAATCTTCACGATAACTTTGCATAAATAATTTTACAAAAAAAAACCTTCCTCTCGACGTAATAATAAATGCTTCCAAAATCTCGTTCACGTTACCTCCAAATAGCAACATGATATCCGCGTTTATCCCTATTTTATTATCGTTCGTATTATCTAGCATCGTCATGTCCAGCAACAGATTATATATTTATCATGCACTTTGACGATTAATCTGTCCTTTTCTCTTTAACAACATGCAATTTACATTGCTTGCACACTCGTGTGCGGCGTTTCACCCTTACTCAAGACCGTAAAAGTGGCGGCGAGCACATGCAAAATCGTGAGAGTCGACCTACAGCACGCAGGTTAAATATCTCTTTATCTTTTTTTTTGTTGTTTCTTCATCCTTCCACGTCATTTCACGTTTTTGGCAATCGTTCTTCGATGTGTCTCGCGTGCCGTCGATCAAAAGAGACTGTAGTCAGAGGGGGCTTCAGCAGCAGCTGCATATCCGACCGTCATATCCTGAACCCAGACAGTATGCATGTCCAAAATCGAGACATAAGACATGTTAAGCCGTAATCACACTAGCGACTGAGATTGAGATTGAACTGGAATTTGACCAATCAAAAGAAGAAAACTAATATTAAGTTTAGCGAATTTTGCTTTGATCGGTCAAATCCCAATCCAATCTCAATCTAAATCGCTAGTGTGATTACGGCTTTAAAAACGTCTTATGATGTCTAAAAGAACATTTAAGTGACGCCTTTAAGACGTCCTACGCCCCGATTTTGGAAATGGTGCTGCCTGGAACGGTTCAACATTACCTTATTCTTCTCGCTCAGTGAGATGATGCTCTCCTAAACACGGAAAACAAGGTAGTATGAAAAATCATCGGAGACTCAACGGCAGCCGCATCCGAGGACTGCCATGTCCTGATAGTTCTTCAGCACTACCTTATTCTCCTCGTCCAGATAGAGCATTGATATCGAGCTGAGCGCGGTCGGCACGCAACACGCCTTCGGCACCATGCTCGGCTTGGTCGAGTAAACGAGGGTCTGCACGATCGCGTGATTCGTCGAGTTCAGATGGTCCGCCAGAGGAAACGGGCAATCACCGTGGCAGTAGAAGGCGTCGTATCCGGGCGGCGCGACGATCCAATCGTTCCAGCCGACGTCCGCGAAGTCGACGTAGAGCGGATGTCGCCGGCAATTCTCGCGGCCGTCCTTCCGCCGGTTCTTCCGCCCCGAGGGGGTCCCCCGCCTGGCCCGCCGGTCCATTATCCGTTCCGCGGATGCCATCCCGTAACGGCCGTCGTCCATGTACGCGTAGAGCATCGGCCGATTCACCACCCACGCGTCCTTGTGCTCGTCGACGGACCGTTTCAGCCGCACGTGCTCCCGCGTGCGGGCGAGCGTACCGGTCACGTGCACCAGCAGCCCGTGATTATTCTGATGGCTACCCATCCATCTCACCACGGCCGGATGCACGTCCAGACTGATCGTGGCGTTCTTCGTCATGTCGATCACCTTGCTGTCGATCAGCCGCAGTATCGGCTTGCTGTGGCCCTTGCGGCCGGGCCGTATTATGTCGTACACCAGTATCCGGCCGCGCTTGTGCTTCGCGCTTATATTCTCGGCGTCCGCCACTGCGACGCGCGACAGGCTCAATTCCGCCGCCTGCAACGTCTCGCCGACAGGTACCCTGCTCAGGTCGAAGGACAACCGGAAACGATTCGGAGATTGGAACTTGTGGTCCAACTCGCTCTCTGGAAAGAAAGAATAGAGATGGTTGTTAATAAAGATATATCGCGCGAGAAGGCTCGTGTAAACTAAGATAATAGAGATGTAAACAAAGATAACTCTTAACAAAGATAGATAATATTAAACAGATATCTAATATTAACGGATCTAATATTAGACATTAAATCAAAAATATTTTATATAAGTTTTATATATACATATAAGATACAGAAAGAGAAATATAATTAATGAGTTTCATCCTGAAAAATTTAAACTTTTAGTAAAAAAGAAAGTTTTAATGTTTATGTAATATCAGAGAAACTAAAACTTAATTTTTTTTTTAGTAAAAGTTTAAAGTAAATAGAAATTTTATTTTTAATTCATCAAACGATTAATGGATTAAAAATATAATGCAGACAAAAAAATAATCATCTCAAAGTAGAATCCACGTCTTTAGACTTTTCGCTTTTCAGGAAAAAAAACTCAAACATTTCTCGAGCATGTTACCTCATAGGCGAATGAATAATAAATCATGGATTTTGTGAGAAGGTGCTGCTTAGAAATTCAGAGGTGACTCTTTAAATTTCCTGTTTGTCGTGTCGGCGAATTTATCAGACGTGTTTATTATCTTACGACATTTATTAATAAAGGAGTGCCGCGCGGAATAATAATTTTTCCATTCGCGTGACCCGCGCGAATATTTTACGACGCACGACGCGAGCGTGCGTAATTTAAGTTCTACGCTTCTACGAAAATAGCTAATAACGTTGAACGTTACGACGCAGTTGTTCCTCGGAAACGACTCGAAAACACAGTGGATGCAGCGGACAGCCGTATAGACGCAGTTGTAATGCGTATGTAAATTTCGTAAGACGTCGCTGAATCCCAACATACACACACGCACACGCGCACGCATACCCAACAGCGCGGTCAGCATGCTACATACGCAGAATCTAGCAATTTCCGTGGAAGCAAAGCAGTAGAAATATCAAAGAGCTTCTTGTTAGTGTTTTATATATAATTCGATCTAAATTTTTGTGTCGCCCTCTCGTCTTCAAACTGATATTTATAGAAACAAACAGCTCACCAAGAGTATAGATTGAATAAATTACGAAAGTATTGTCATGTTTATTTTCTTATGTGCAACAATATATGTTCAATAAATTAAAATATTATAGAATATTATATTATTATAATTATAACACATCTAATTCTTATCTGATTTCATCCGATAGGAATGTCTTTCAACAGATAGTTGATCATATAATCATGAAAACTGCATTTTTTTTCGATGTGTTTCCTAAATTATATATTCTTTAATTATTTAATCATTTAAAATATTATCTTAAATTTATCGACAATATATTAGAGCTTCAATTTTTTAATGGCTAATATAAAATAATATAAAATGGTGTAATACTGATAGACTTGTCATAAGAACGTGCCTGAAAGATATGCACACGTAATCTTTAAAGTATTGGAATAATGTCGTTTGTAAACAAAATACAACATGAGCGTTCCTTTCAGCATGTATACTGTCAGTGCCATGTACACTACGCTTGAAATGTCATCGGATTTTACTTGCAAATTTTCATGATAAATGTGAAAAGGTAGATAAAATTCCTAACATACTCATATTTTATTAACCATTGAGGACTGAACAATTGGAAAGTGTCGAATAATCGGAGATATATACGCATCATATCATTAAACACTGTCGTCTCTCGACGTTTTTTAATAAACGTGATAAAATTCCTAATAACTCACGTTTTATTAACCATTGAGAATTGAACAATTGGAAAGTGTCGAATAATCGGAGATACACGCATCGTATCATTAAACACTGTCGTCGGGGGACTTTCTCAATGGTTAATGAAATATGAGTATGTTAGGAATTTTATCTATTTTCTCACGTTTATTCAAAGAAAGCGATATGGTCTCAATGAGCCCAGCTGATTTTCACGACAAAGACACACGAAAATGATATCTGTGACAATAAAAGCAACACGTTCATGGAACTTACGATTTGGGCTTCGAAATACGGATATGTGAAATACGGATACCGGATACATTTTTATCAAAATGATTTGTCAGGACGGATATCTCGCGATATGCCCGGTCGCTTTCTCGTTGCGCATCTTCCCTGATTGCTCTCTCGGCACTTTCTCCTACGTTATATCATCCCGCGTAAGCGCTTTTACTGTTCCAATGTTTAGCTTCGGAATCCGTTTTAAAACGGCTACGTTCCGCGGTATAACGACACGAGATTCGAAGAACAATCGGCAAAGAACGCCGACCTATACCTAAGCTAATATCCGGATGTGAATCATTGGGACGGAAGCTGTGGACCTCCTGAGAGCAAAAGATACCGGGCGGGCTCTCGGAGAGTGCCTTCGGGCATTCCAAGGCGATCTCATCATCGAGCGATAATACACTCACATAGAGCGTGTAAGGAGCTATATAGGGTCCCTTTTTCTTTTGTTTCGTCGAGGCACCCCGTAGGACGCACTCGAGTGCGGAACCCACGGCACGTTCCCCGGCAATCACCGTGGTCGAAGAGCCCCTTTGTCGGTTGAACAACCATAAAATCGTTCGAATGCCATTCTTCTCCTTTTCACGCAGGAGGCGAGGTCGCGCGAAGGTAATGCATTACACTCGCAGACGTCCCCAAACTCGTGGAACGAAGTATTCTGAAGAGTCAATTAGGAGGCCTAAATCGCTATCTCCTTTTGAGAAGAGAAAAAATATTTCGACAAAGGTAGCAGCGTATTTTCCACTTGCAACCGTTCGTCTGCTATTCTGAAAAAAGGGAGCTGCAGATTTTATATGGATTTCTATTCAAAATCACGGAAGATATATATTATCCACGTAATTAATTAAATTGTGAAATCTTCTGAAAGAAGAGATTCGTACCCTCCCCTTGAATATGAAGTTTTACATATAAAGTTCTTTTATGACATTATTTTCGCTGAATAATAATGTGGATTTTTTCTAATAAGGAGAAAGGATCACACACGTCTTTCTTGCACAGCGGCTTGGAATAAACCTTAATGCCTACAATTATGCCAATCAGGCTAATTACGTCAGTTATGCTTAACGTAAACCTGTAATTTATGGAATAATGCCTTCCCGAAATTACTGCGTGACTAAGAGATTCGTATAAATAAAGCGAAGGAGAAGAATATTGTTCATACATCGTAGAATTATTATCAGTGTAGATGACAATTATATAATTCATATATAAATCAGTCAATGCTTCGTATTTACATCAAGCTTGCCATTTCAAGATTCGTAATTTCAAATTCTTTTTAATACGGGCAATATAACGTGCGAACGTTATTTATGACATTATTTAACTTGTTATTGACGCAAAAGCGAGTGATCCCAGAAATGTGATCTGCAAAATCGCACAGTCGCATAACGGCGTTCGAGGGAGAGAAATGACGTATCGACAGCGACATGTAAAAAAAAAGTACGGAATTATTGAGTCCTTACAGTTCGAAAATTTGTCATTCACGTTTGCCGACGAGATGCAGAAGGAATGACGATTGATAACGAGTGCAACATTGCACATTCCGTTTACTACTGCACTTTCACTGAGAGTCGAAAGAGTCGCCAACCTGTTTTCGAATTACGAATTCCAACTCGCTAGTTCTCACCATCGTTCAATGATTCACGATTCGCGAATGCACAGGTAAAGACTCCTGTGTTTATTCAAACGTATCGATAGAATCGATTTTGTGCATATGTTTATACGTTTTAGGAATTTTAGGATATGATAGCGCAAACTCTAGATATCAGAATATATCTCATTCAGAAGCGCAACATCTAGATATTAATGTGCATACATCAGAATCGAAGCTCCGTCAAAAAAACAAATCGTTAAAAAATAACTCGATTTTGTGAGTCCGTTATGATTACAATTTTTGCTCATTTACATACATCTGAAAAATTTTGTTTATACTAGTGTGCTCAAAATATAGTATAACTTTACAGAATTTATTGAATTCTGTTTTGTAACGTTATTCCATTGTTTGTATAAATTCGTATACTGTGCCGGTAAAGATATAGACATTATAGACTATACGGTCAGTTTGATATTACAAATGCTTCGGAGCATTTTTCGATTGATCATTTAGTATAGAAATTCTTTCTTCTGATAAGTCAATCAAATGCTTCGAAGCATTTGTAGCGTCAAGTGGACCGCACCCATAGACTTAAGTCGTTTCGAAAACAGAAAGCAGATAAAAAGAGCAATCTTCTATCACTTCAAGATTTAATCTAATAAAATATTACCAAGTAAACATTATTAATCAAGTTTTGTCAATACTGTTATAGAATTAACAAAAATGATTTGCAATTAGATTAACATTGTTATAACATATTATTTCTTCCGTGTAGATTTAATCTACCATAGCGCACAAAAATTATTTTCAATTAAATTAACATTATTATAACATTTTTATTATATCATTTTTTCCGTGTAGATTTAATCTATCATACTTTGTAAAAGGTACAATATCCAAAATGATTTTCTCGTCAATAATTACCGTTTCGCGCACGTTACGTACATAATAGGTTAAATAATATTTTATATCATATTAATAAAATTTAAAAAATGATTAAAAATGAGAAAAAATGGCCTAATATGTATCGTGAAAAAAAAAACATTGCGTGCGTTATCGTGCGTCGGAATTCGACTTTACTGAAAGTTAAGTGTTAATCTTCAGTATTCGATTTTCTAAAATTATGTGAGAGTTATCTTCTCGCCCAATCCATAATACACCCAGCTGACGTAGTCCAACTTACCGATGTGTGGGAACGAACGAACGGTGTTGGCCGATCGCACGTGAAGGCCCGGCTTCGCGATGTCCGTGCTTCTGATGGTATTCTGGCGGACGTGAAGATCCCTGAGGGAACGTGGGATGTGGGTCCGACCTTGCGGCCTCGGTCTCTCCGTTAAGCCCATGACGGTGAGCAGGGTGGCCTTCGTCACGGCTATCTGCTTTTCGCGATCCTTCGTCTCCAAGTGATACGACGACGATGATGTGGCCGTGTCCGTGTCGATGTGTGATAGGAGCATCTCCGCGTTACAAATCGCACTTGCCAGCAGCGTGACTGCTGCCACGAGCACTAACCCCGGCAGCGACATGCGCATCGTGACGTCGTCACTCACTTACGTTACCTCCCTGGAAGCACGAAAAGAAAAAACGTGTTAAAAAAGATTGTCATTTTGTCGACTGAATGCTGCACGAATTGGATCATGTAGATTCTGAGTTCCAAATTAGCTCCTATACTTCATAAAAAAAAAAGATCTTTCTTAAGTAGTCTATCAGACTACGTATTGGAGATGAAGACTGCAAATGCAAGATTAGAATTTGATCAATCGACTAATTTTAATTTTAATTCGTTTCATTCTAATTGAATATTCTATATAATCTCCAATGCGTAGTCTGATACTTTATGTTTCTTCTCGAAAAGAAACACTAGATTGATCTTCAGTCTAGAACTTCTATAGATTGATTTTCGGTCTAGAAGTTCTAGACCGAAAATCTACAGGATAAAACTCCGTTATTCGATATTATTAAACGTACGCCGCGAAATTATAAATAAGCATTGCATTACGTAAGATTATGGAACGATCAACGTCACGCGCGATCGTGGTAATGTTTGTTAATTTTAATCGTGATACTTTTATTTCTTACGAATTTCCTGGTTTTGTACGAAAGAAGTGATATTAGAACGTTCTTACAGTCGATTTCGAAGTGAGTCGAATACCAGCTTGTCTCCTACAAGGGAGTCACTGACAGATACTAGAAGAGGCACCTTTTACCTAGCAGGACGACAGCAGGACTGAGGTGTACATTAGGGAATGCACTACGGTCTAAAGAATTTTAGGGAAGGGATGGAGCAACCTTTCCTCAGAGAGATAAATTATAATCCCAGAGGTAATTGGTTGCATTAAACAGCCAATACGAAAGCGACGAATCATGCAATGCACCTGTGAAGTGAAATATTGGGTTTACTCGAAAATAGGTTTACTTCTTCATGGAAAATTTCAATTAAAATTTCTTTCTTATTTTTTATACACAAAAAACTGCAAAAAAATCACGTAAAATTGAAACATCAACGAGGGATATAAGCGAGAAAAAAAATTGTGTCCAATAAATTTTTCAATTATAGAACAAATTTTGAATAAAAATTTATGCACGTCAAAGTGCTACGAAATTTAGCGAAGTTAACTAATCCTACGCTAATTTCCACGACGGTTTTGAACACGTGAAAAAGAAACGTGGCGCAAATTTCATTTGGTTCAATTTAACTTCCGAAATCTCCCGAGGTACAGCGAAGATTATATCGAAAATTTTAACTCGGCGGGGCTGCATAATGACTCTGAGTCAGCATTAAAGCGGAGGAAGAGCAGGTCCAGGATCTGATCCGATTGGCCATCGGTTCCTGGGCCCGCCAATAGATGTGGAGGGATTCGTCGAATCAGGCTCTGTTTCAAAGTAATCGCTTTCTCTTACTCTCGAGCGGATTTGTTTTTTACGATCTTATATACGGTGATTCGAAAATACCTTCGAGGCCTCGTAGATTAGACGAACAAATTAACGGAAAATACAGAGAGATATGATCGCGCGAATAATTGTATAAATTTCTTTTTATATCACAATTATATTATTGTTTATTACCTACTCGAGATACATTCACCTTTTATTACAGTCACCTTTTGCTACTGATTAAACCGATATTCAATTGAGAGTGCATGTCCAGTTGAGCACGATTACTTCTTACTAGATTTAATAACTTAATAGCTAGCTTGTACTCTGCAGATTGATATGCTCTATTATTAGTAACAATACAAGCGTGAGTAAAGCACGCAAAAAAGGCGCATAAAACATGCATGCGAATGTTTTACAATAAGTATAGCCTGTAGAGTTTAAATATCACATATAACGGTTTGATAAATAGACGACAAGTCGGGATTTAAACGTAGTGCATAATGGTTTGTCAACATCAATCTATGCAAAACTTTTTCGAGTTTTTGGTGCGATTTTAGGGGTTGGAACAAATGAATGGTAAACTGAAGACACTAAATATCAATCGTATTATAAGAACGTACCTACATAAACAATTCGTTTAAAATATTGAATTTTTTATATTAATAAAAAAATATGAAATTTTTATATTGGTGAATACTGGATTTTTTCTACATTAAAATCCAGTCAACGAGGGTGTATAATCGCGATAAATTCCGATCAGAGAACTTAAACGCGATGGACTTGACAGCGTAATGTCAAAACGAGCTATCTCACTCGCCTGCCTTTTTTTTTCCTCGTCATTTTAACCGAGTCACCCCGAGTTAAAAAACGCGCGCAATAATTTACAACCCCGAGGGCGTAATCCTCTGGAGAAAGATCGGCGCTTCCAAAAAATCACGACTCGCTCGCGCCGTCCGGAGAGCCGTGACTCGCCGCCGCGGCGGACTCGCGAGTTACGAGCCGGTTACGGAGCGGCTCGCGGGCTTCGGTAATAATTTCGGAATCGATCGCACAATGTTGTGACATACTTGCCGCGTACATTAACGGTAGAGTTCCGCCGGTCGAAACTGGTTTTATCCGCGATTTTAAGCGCGCGCGCGCGCGCGCACACACGCGTTTCTCAAAGGCGGAATATTTATGCGCTCCGCGCGACTCGCTCGCGCATTATCGGTGGATGCTGAACGGATATGTGTCCCCTTCCCCTCCCTTGCCGAGCTCCGCCGCCCCTTCCTCCCCTCGCCCTCTGATCACACACTCTCGATTTCATTCAATGTAAAATGCTGTGAGATCGGCGAACGCCTTCCTCCGTGGCGTTACGCCACAGAATAGATTATCGTGTCGCAGACACCCTGCCAGGACTCTCTGCGATATTGCCGGTCGCGAGGCGAAAACAAGTATCTTTCGCACAGTGATTTTCTAATTTGAATCTAATTTTAATGCTCCCTCTATGACATCGTCCGATTAAGAGCGTGAAAAATTACAGAAATTACATTATAAAGAAAAGAGTAATATAAAGATACGTAATGCAGCATTCCGGCGTGAAATTTTGGACTTTTACTTCTACAAGAATTGCGATAAAGTAGCGCTTTTAAAGTGAATATTAAACAAATCGTCAAAATTAACTGAGATCGGCAGCGTTGCAAGCTCAACGTCGGAAATTAGTCATTGATTGGGCAAAAATGATTCGCACGCGATTAAATGCGAGGGAGCTGGATTGCGAGATATATACCTTTGTGTGTCGAACGAGAGAAGCGAGGTGCCCTCGTAATAGAAACGTCTTAAATAAACGGCGTGAAATTGAATCGCGGAAAAACGCGAGGCATTCGAATGAATCATAATACGTAATGAATATGCATTAAGGAGATACATTATTGGCAAAATACCACTTCTCGTAATTGAACACGCATATTTTTCTCTTCTTAGGTTTTACAAAACACAAGTGTGCTGCGGCACACGAGCTCTCTCGGCGCTCCCGTGCACGCACCGCGGTGTTCTCATTAACAGCGATGCTACACGCACGCTAATTAAGTCTAATAATTCCCTTTTTCCGGGGTGTTACTTTTATATCTGGAAAAAGAGGACGCAGAATGAAAGATCTTTCTTCCGCTGTATACGGCGAGCCATTTGAAACTCATACGTATAAAGTATCATCTGGTCTAAAGTGTATCATCGTTAACTGATAGATATTTCTTTTCTCATTCTTCTTCATTTTCTCTCATCCTCATTTTCCAAACATTTTATTTTTATACACGTGTATAACTGTTTCCTCAATGTGTTCGTAAATCAATGTACGCTCGACGATTGCACTAGTAAGAGAGGGAAAGGAAGGAGCGGGTGAACACGAGATGAATTATCGCGTTCGATCGCGACGCGTAGAATCGATCGGACTCCGATTTGCGTCGAACGCGCGTCTTCGCTCGCGGGCTTAGCAGATGACAGCGGGATACAATATGGCGGTTTATACATACATATACTCGCTCGGTGGGATACCACGATCGCTTCGGCCCATCCGCGGCACGAGGGCTCGCGGTCCTCTCGTGCGTCCCTGGCAGCACGAACGTGCAGAGAGAAAGAGAGAGAGAGAGAGAGAGAGAGAGAAAGCGAGAGAGAGAGAGACGGGGCAGAAAAGGTTGGTAGGACCAGAGCCAAGCTGTCTGCCGCCGCCGCGCGCCGCCGCACCGCCTCCTCTCGCGCGCGCTGGACCGCGCTGCCTCGCGGCTCGCGGCGCGGCGACCGGGAGCACGAGCCTACCGAGCGACTCTCGTTGCGCGTTAGGTAATAATATGTAGATCCTTTCCTCGTGAACGCCTCTCTCGTAGCGACCAACTTGTTTTTCAAGGACAATGAATTTACCGATGGACGCATTCGCGCGGAAAAGGCTCGTCACGCATGCATTCCTTGCGGTGCATTATGGTGGGCGCGGAGCACGGGCGCGGGCGCGCGCGCGCGCGCGAGCGCGGCTCGGCAAAAGGTGCCTTGCCGCGCGCGCGGATAAACACATAGGCGTGCGCGCGCGCGCGCTCTGGCAACGGGGGCCCCCAGTGTGCGGCCTCTCGTCGACCACCGGGACGGTAGAGATGGATTAGATGAGAACGCGTAGAACGATCCCGAGGTCTCTCTCTCTCTCTGTCTTTCTCTCTTCGGGCGGGCCGGGCCCAGGTATGCGCGCACGGGGGAAAACGTTCTCCGTGTTCCCCGGATGTTCACGGACGGTACGTTTTCGGAAGACCACCCGCGCCGCGCGCTCGTCGGCACGGCCTCCCTCTCCCCCCCTCCCACCCCTCCGAACCGAGCCCCGCGGGTTCGTTAATGGGCGGCGGGGCGATTTCGTAGGAATTCACTGCGCCGCCCGCGGAGTTTCCGTTGCCAAGCTCCTTCTCTTCTCTCCAAGTCTCAATGGATGGAAACTTGATGTGTGGAGACCCGAGCCGCGGCGCGGCCGCGAGAAACGACGGCGACGGCGAAGCGAACGAAGGCGGTAAACAATCCACCGCCACCGCGCGCCGTCGTTCTCCGCACGCGCCGCCTCCTATATATGTACCTGGAAACAACATCCTATCCGACGCGCGAGCGGATTTGCATTCGCATTCGCATTCGCATTCGCGCGCGCGCGCGCGCGCGCCCGCTGTCCAGCGGCTCTGGAATGCGGCGCGCTGGAATATACAAGGATAAGGTCGGCGGCGCGGCGCGGTGCTCCGAAGCGCGTGCGAGGCACATACATACAGCGTAGAGGCGAGGCGTCATCGTCTAAAATAATCGGGCCAGGCTGACGGCGGCGGGGTAGCGGCAGCGGCGACAATGAGCGGTGGCAACGGTTGAGGAGGCTCACGAGGAAGAAGTGGGTCGGAGAGTAGAGCGGTGGGACGCGATGGGAAAGAAAGGAAATAGAAGAAGGAATCTCGCGGTCGCGCGAGTCTCTGCGTCGCGAGCGTCGCGTAGCAGAGAGAGACAGAAAGACAGAGAGAGAGGAAATAAAGGAAGACAGCACATATAAAAAAAAACAGGAGAAAAGCTCGAAAGATAAAGATGGAGGGAGAAACGTTGCGCACATGAGTAGAGAGAGAGAGAGAGAGAAAGAGAGACAGTTTTTGCTCACCTAACTAATCGCGAGTCCGTAGTTTGAGCAGCCACGGCATCTCAGGTCGGGGCCCAGCACGGCTGCAACAGACGGCGTAACCTCACCTCGCACCGCTGGTTCACCACTCAAGCGTGCGCGCGGTCCACAACGCAAAAACTCAGGAGGACACTATCTCCGGTGTTCCGCGCCGATCGGACGGCCCGCGCGCGATCGGAGGAAAGAGGAACGGGGGGAGGGGGTGGGGGGACGAGGGAATCAGCGGGAGGAAAATCCGAGAAGGGAAAAACGACGATCCTCGTCTTCGACGTCGACGACGAGCTCCCGATGGATTCTCTCTCGCGCACGCACGCGCACACTCACCTCAACCACAACCGAACACACCTGCACGCACCACACACACGCGCGCGCGCGCGCGAGCGCGCTCTCCTCACTCAAAATCCGCGCTCGCGACGGGATTGTTGTAATTCCTGGTCTGGCGCGCTGTTTTTTTCCACGGCACCGTATACGGACGTCGCGGCGAGTATAGCCACGCAGCGGGCGAAGGCATCCGGCCCCGATGACGGGCTGAGCGGCGCGGTGCCACCGAGATGTTCTCTCGTCGATCAGGCGGTCATAACGCGCCTTGCGTGTCAAACCGAAAGTGTGCTCCTCTCAATCCTCTCGCGGCTCTCGCGCGGCTCTCGTCTCGTACTCTCGTCGTCGTCGTCGTCAACGACGGTGGCGGCGGCGGCGGCGACGGTGGCGGTGGTGGTGGCGGTCCGCGGTAGCGGCGGGGGGAAGGAGAAGGCAGAGAGTGGGGACGGGGCCCACCTTCGTACACCTGCGCGGCCTATCAACAGGTCCCCGCGCGCGCGCACGCACGTACATATAACGTACGTACGCACGTACGCGCGCATGCACGCACCTACGTTACGCGCAGGGCACGCGGAATCCGGCCCCGCCGAGTTCCACCACACCGACGATGATGCGCATGTATATACTCCAGCCGCGGATCCTTTCCTCCTTCGCGCCGCGCTCGCTCGCTTCCTCCTATTTTCTACCTGCTGCTCCGACGGCCGATCGGCGGAGTATCCGCCAGGGATGCGATGCACTTGGAGCACTGCCCAACGGAGCGGGCACTCCGGCGACGATCTCCTCGCTTCTCGCTTTCCTTCTGCTCTTATTTTTTTTTCTTCCTCTCGCTCCCGCTTCTTCTCTCCTGCGCCTCCCTCGACGACGTCGCGCGATGTCGTCCGCGAAACACGCGCACGGCGCGCACGGCAGTCGAGCTGTTCCCAGGTGGAAAACCCCCGGGTGGATATCCCGCGCGCGTAGCCGCAAGCGCATGCGAATGCTGTCGCGATCGAGGTTTAGGCAAGGCCGCGTTCGAACGTGTGCGCCTCGCCCGGACCCCGTTCCAGCCTCCAGGCTCCGTTCTACTAGCCCTTCCTTTTCTACGGCGGGCCCCCCCCTCCCCCCTCCCTCCCTCCCTTCCTCCCCTACTCGCCGTCCCACTGGCTGCCGACTCCAGGACCGGCCGCGTCGACGCCCGCAGTCCCGGTGCATTCCACGCGCACTGCATATCTGCGGCACCTGCGTTTTTCGCCCTCCCTTCTGCTCCTCCGCATTGATCCGCGGATCGACGTGCGACATCAGATCCATCCCGTGTACCGTGTATGACCTGAACATATGATGTCGACAATCTCGTAAATACGATGATGTATGTACCTCCTCGGACAAACAAAATTACGACTTTTATCCGCGTTTCGCTACACCGCTGCAGCGTGTGCATATTGAATAACACAACAAATACATATTGAGATAAACAAGTTCGACGTTTGTTTACGTTGTTTTTTTTTCGGTTAAAATCACATTGGAGTAACTGTCACATGGAAATCACTATCCGGAGTCGCGACGGCGACGAAAATTTTCAATGGAAAATTTCTGTATACAATTCGCGCGAGAGTTCATATATTATTTATTCATTGTATATGCATATATATATATATATATATAAATTCATTCATTATTATATAATTAAATGTCTCGCACGATGAAACCGGCATGTGTGTAAAGCGCGGAGATAAGGGAACGAGGACGCGTATCTCCCCTCGGGAACGTTACGCAGCGACGTCGCGGCGACGTTCCTGCGCAAACTTCCTCGTCCTTGTTCCTCTCGCTGAACACGTCGTCGTCCCTCGCTCGCACCTACCTCGGACGGCACGGACTTGCTCCACCAGCCAGTCTGCCGCTGTTGGGTATCCTCCCTTTCCCCGTCGCCCTTTGCACTCGCCCTCTCCTCCTCCCACGTCCTCCTCTTCGTCCCGCTTTTCACTCGCTTGCCTGCGAGCGGTGGTCCCCAGCCCTATTCCGTCGTTCAGTTTCAATGTCTTTTACCTTTTCGGAGAATCGAAATCAATCCGGATATCTTCTTGAGCAATCGGTTTTAGCGATAGTCTCGGGCGCGGAAGTCACGTGCCGTCACGACTTTACAATTTCTTGTAATCAAAATTGTTTTATCATCGCGAAAATAAAATTCAGATGATTAGCGGAAGGCAAAACGTCTGTAAAGCTATTCTCTAATGCTACAATAATTGTCACATGGTCGTTATTAATTTCGAGAATATAATATAGTTAAGGAAATTGGAAAGAACGCAATAATGGAAGTGCTTCCACATAATTACAAATATATATCTTATAGTAAAAATTCCGCATAAACAACATAAATGTATGTACTTATACTTTTTCTAATAGAAAGCCATTTATATATATTATAATGTTTTTATCACACATATTAGAATATTTATTAAAAAAGTAATCACGTAATAATGGTCCAGTTTCGATAATATCCATATACTTATATTTAATTAATGTGAGAAGAAATTCACATATATATATATTACCAATATTTTATTAGTAGAATTTCTGAAATCTCATTTGAATTATTTCAGGATTATTATTAATTATTGGGAATATTGTGTAATTTTCTGCAAACTATATAAATTTATACAAAACAATTCTAATAGAAGTTATGAATTATAAATATCTCTCACATATTATAACACACACACATATATATATGTCTGTTATAATGTGTTCTTCGACAGAAATCATAAAAAAAATTATTGTATATTGTGTTGATAACAGCCATCAAATTTACAGAGAAGAAAATGATTTTATCGTCTACCAATCTATCAGAATACAATAATGATGATTTTTACCATCCGTGATAAAAAACTATATGTGATCTACTCAAATTATTTGCCACAATTTTATTTATTGCGATTAGCACTATTTTTGTCCTTGTCATGCAACAATATGCGATTTATTCGAATGATCTGTTACAATAAATTTTATTATTTACGTATTATGCTTATTATTTTTCTTTTCTCATTTCTATATATATAATTAATACTTTTTGATAGACCTCAATAAGAATTTTTATTTACAAAATCGTTATATTACATGTACAAGAAGAAATATTTATAAGTGTAAACCGCTTTATAATTAACATTATTAAGAATTAAATATCAATTATATACAATTAATCATTTTCTTAGTCTAAAGAACGATTTTATTATTATGCAGTCACTTCGGGAAAAAGATTTACTAGGAGGTGATCTAGTAGAAGATATGCTAGATGCTTATTGAACGGCGCGTTTTGTAAAGGATCTAAAAGAGAATCCATCAGATTCTTCCAAGACTTGGAGAATCCCATTAACCACCACAAGGAATGCAATCCCTCCTTCGCCGTTTCATAGTAATTTCGGTATTTTCCTTGCGAGGGGAAGTCTTTCATGTAAGTCTTACCAACTATTTTCGCGTGTAGAAGCTTGACGACGATGGAAGCGCGGCCACCACTCAGAAGCTTAATTAGAGTGTTGTAGAAGACTTCGTTCACAATAGGATCTATCCTTTTACGCGATAAAAAGGCGAACATCCAGAAAAGTCGCGAAATGATCGGACGTACATTTAGTAGACTGTCGACTGCAACATAAAACACCGTTTTTAACAATCGTAAATAATCGTGCGAACGCACGTATGAAGAATATTATCTTTTGAACTTACGAGCTTCTGTTATGCATAGACTTGCACCTTTCACGTGATCACGCTGCGGCAGATTGCACGGCAAATTTTGGAAAGTAACCGGCAGATTCAGATTATTGCCGAACACCTCGTCTATCAGCTTTCTACCTTTGCTCTCCGTCTCGCCGAGGTGCTCGCTCGAAGGCTCGACGCCCATATCCATGTGTTCGTACTTGGTGTTCGTAGACGCTAGGAAAGTGTTCATGAACTTGTCGAGATGCTGTCCCTTCTCCTTTCGCAATTTATACGCCATGCTCTGGTAGAGGATGCCAATGTCGGGCGTGCTGTAGTTCGCGAAGTACGGCTTCAAGTTCGGCGTCGTGAGGAAGGTGTAAAGGAGCTCGCTGCTTCTCAGCATCGGTTTGGACAGCAACTTCTGCAGAAACTCCTCGTAACGTTGACGGTTAGCCGCGAGCGGCAGGTACGGATTTTTGCGCGACGGCAACGGCGAGTCGTTCAGCTCTCTGTCGCCGTGGAACTCGGTGAGTCGCGTCCGCAGCGTGTAGAAATCTTGATCTTGCCGCAGGACCGTCCACGACTTCGCCTCCGCCACGCTATGAATGGCGATCATGTACACAGGTTGCGCGCCACCGCCGTCCACGTGCGGGACGGCGACTCGCCACGTTGTCAAGTCGCGATGACTCTTATCGCCGAACCCTTTGATCTCGTTATACGCCCGAGCCGTGCAATCTACCTCTTCGACCGGGTAGACGTCCTGCAGCTGAAACGGCATACCGTCGATCGTAGTCGTGCGTAAAACCCCGTCGACCTTGCCCACTTGATTGTTGAATCGCACAGGAGGAGATGCACCTCCACTTGCACTACTATAAATGAGAATATGTATGTTTATACAATTATAATTGCGAAAATTTTCAGAGCTAGCACGTGTGAGTTGTATGTTTAAATTTATAAAATGCAGCGTCTATTTTATTTATATTCATATAAAAAAAAACGTGTTTTTAGGAAATTGCTATTTTCTCTACTTCATTCATACAAGCAAATTATAGTAAGTACAGTCGCAACTTATGCGTGTAGGAAAAAAATTAGTGATCGTAAAGTAAAGTAGTAGGATTAAAGTGTCGCAAAATAATATTTTTCTAAAGAGTTTAAAAATACATCTTATGTTAGAAACTTACTTAGCCGCTGCAGTAGCTTTCGTTTGTTCGGACAAGTGACCGCACAAGAGTTTATATAACTGAAACACACAGCAAGTGAAATTACTATTAGAATATAAAGTTTCATTATTAAAGATTTAATATATTCAGAATTAATATTTAAGGATTTAAAATGTTGAACGTTTACAGTAAACAAAGATAAAATGTCTTTTACTTGGTAACTATGATGGAATGATGGTAGACAAGTACTTTCTAGGAGTGCATGCGCTTCTTGATGAGCTTGATAAAAGGGCCGTGATGTCCGTAGTTCTTGAATTTTTTCCGGCCCACCTTCTAGTACTGGAAATAAACACGCATCCATGTAATAATAATAATAATAATACTTGAAATTGAAATTACTTATTTACAAATTACTCACTTTGTCGTATGCCTTTCGATATATGCAACGGTAAGTACAAGTATTCTGGACCGTCAGGATCAAGGTATACCGTGTACATATTCCGAACATCTACGTACAAGCTTCTTTCAGCACTAGTCGACATTTCTGGATTTAACATACGTTTACTGAGATCGTCTACAAGTAAATAAAGTCAATTATAATTATTATCAAAATCTATTATCGAAAATCTATATTAAATTATATCAAAAATTTCATATGCACCAATATCTAAACAAAATTGAAGAAGATTCATGGGCCCTGATTCTTTGATGTGCTGCATAAACATGTACAATAGTTCAGGGTCGCTCAGAATTTCATTTAACGACGGTTTGAAACAGCTGTGCGTGATATGCGAATGCATTGCTGGAAGTGTCATCCAGGATTGCAGTATCGGCACGGTAACAGCCTCCGCAGCATTAGACAGAGTAGTCTCACGATGTGTGGCCAACGTCACCAGCATATTTATATTTTCTGGGTCCGTCAGCGCATCAATCGCGGGCAGTAGCACCCAATTTGCCAAAATTTCGCGAAGTATCACCTGGAAGTACATATAAACTGAAAGAAGCGTATGAAATGTGTTACATAATTATTCCTCTGTAAATAAATCTCTTAAATTCACAAATATATATGTACGTGTGTGTGTAAAAGCGAGACTGAATTTCGAAAGGACATGTCATTACTTTATTGTTAGTTGAGACGTGTATGGCAGGTAACAAGTGCGGCAGCAGCGTGGTGACCAGTCCTCGCAAATAATTCAGCTCGGCCTCTCTCGAATAGGCAGCCGGATGAATTTTAGAGCTCAAACAGCTCCCGATGTAATCCTGGGGCATCTTAACATCAGACTTGGACATTTTGAGCAACGCATTCCAATCTTGAGCGTGTTGTATGGCCAGGGGAATCAGGCCGTCGAAGGCGAGGGTCGCCGTGTCCGCGCGTAACAGTCGAACGGTGACGTTCTTCGCCACTGTCGTTATAGCTAAACGTAGTTGCTGTATGAAAGCCTCGTTCGCCGAAATATCCGAGTACCATGTGCGCACGTAGATTTGGAGCACCTCCTCCAGAAGCTGCAAGATATAACACGTTCACGTAATCTCTTAATCAAAAAAATAAAGATTGGAAAAAATTATGCGACAGTTAAATTACATGCACGAAATGTACGAATCGTTATAATTACCTGCTCCAATGCATGATCAAAGTCCTTCGGCACCTTGACCTTGGTTGAATGCGGCAACAGCTTGTGCCTCCTGCAGGTGTTCTTGCTGCAGACGCTGCACGAATCCTTGATGTCGTATCTCGTGATAAACTTGTCGTTTACGATATTGAATCTCGTCAGTAAACTGTCAACGCATCGCGCCAGCTGAACGGCGTAAAAACTGGCGGTCACGTAAACACCAGCCACAATCAACACCCACGCGACGCTGCGAAGAGATCAACGGCGTAATTTCACGCGCGCTTTCGTGTGCATTGTTGACAAACACGACAGTATCGCTTACCTGTTAAACACGACCACGATAAATGCGACAAGTAAAATAACAATCGCCGACAGTGCGGCGCTGAAAAAGTACAGATCCTGCATCTCGTTGTTCGACAGTACTTGGCGACGCCAGGGGCAAGCGGTTTCGTCTAATAAAACATTCTTGCGGTTGTCACAGAGCCACTTTTGCTCGGGGAAGATGTTTTCGATGCGGGGCGCATATAGGTTGTACTTTTTTTTATCAGATCCGGCCGCCAGTTTCAAGTGGCGACTCTACAGCGCCCTGTGACAGGAGTACCGTGTGAAAAGTTTCAATTGGACGAACAATTAATTCGCTGAATCGCGGTGGGACGAAACAAAAGGGTAACGTGAAAAAAGAGCCGATTTGACTTCACACTAATCACACTTCCCGACTTCCCGTGCGATGATTCAAAGGTGGATTGAGAAACTTTGGTATCGGAGCACAATGATGGGATAACCTATTGTAGATTATAACCTATTATACATTGTTATCAAGTCCATCTGGTGGAGCGACATCAAAATCCCGGCACATTGTTGTCAATTATTTTGTTGACAGTCTCACTCGGATTCTGTATGTAATCTTTTAATGAAAGAAACGAGACTGCAACGATGTCGAGACCTCCGGACCCGAAATTTCTGTTGCGCGGCGACATGGATGAAAACGTGCACAGTTTGTTGTTCTCGATCAATTCTGACGTCGAGCATCTCTATGCCGGCGATGGAAACGGCACAGTTCACATTTGGGATTTAAAGGTATAAACACTTGTTCGCTCTAATAAATTATAAACATTTAAATAATTGGATCTAAATAATTTAATCAATTAAAAATTCACTTAAAAAGCAATATTCTACTCTTGACATAAAATGTGGTAAAGAACATTGAGATTTGTTGAAAGAATTAAATCTTCTTCATGTTGCAGACGAACAGGATAAAATATCAGTTATCGGACGGATCTAGTCCGTGTTTTAATTTACACACAACTGACGAGACCGACTTGGTAGTGCAGCGAAGGCACGGAGTGATTGACGTGTACAAAATGAATGAATCGAACTGGGTACTAGATAGAAGCACCAATTATGAATACTGCAGTTTTTGCAGGTATATCAACGAGTAAAGTCTGCTCTAAGGAAATATCAGTAAATAAGTCTATTAAAATTAATTTATCAATACTTTGTATCGCCAGATCTCAATTATTGCCCGAGAAGGACGCCCTACTGATTCCACTTGATTGCTCCGTGGTTGGGACATTATCACTGAAAACATTCGAAGTGGTATCGACGTTAGATCCATCCAAATTGCCCTATAGCAATAAATTGGGTATGGTAATGGCGATGAAGCCGTTGGCGGACGTGAACGGCTTGACTCTGGTTGCTTACGAGGGTGGGCAATTATTGTTGTGGGACGCGAGAAAGAACGATGTCCTCAGCTCCCTACCTGTGGAACATTATCCAATGGCTTTCGATTTTGACGCTTCCCTGATGCGAGGCGTTCTTGGTAGCGCGTCGGAGAAATTGGAGGTACTATAAACATGATTGGTTTTCGTAAATCTAGAGAAAAAAGTATCATTCTGGTATTGATGAATTAAACGGTGGACAAATTTTTAGATTTTCGAAATGTCGCACAATCATACTTTGTCCCACAAATCTACGAAGCTCTTGGAGCACGTGTCTGGCATATCCGTTCTGTCTGTTAGACCGGATAAGAAGATTGTCACAGCCGGCTGTTGGGACGGACGTATGATGTTGTTCTCTTGGAAGAAGCTACGGCCACTCGCGATATTGAAAGAACACGGAGCAAGTGTATACGACATTGTTTATTCGCAGTGTAAAGTCGAGGCTTACGATGCCAAGTGTTTAATGGCAGCGGCTGGCAAAGACGGATTTATATCTATGTGGGATATATACAATTAGGAAAATCACAAATGTGTTCGTGTACATTTTGTAAATATACCAAGAGAAATATATATATAAGTATTTGTATATATGATTATTGCAAATCATCTAACAAATCTTCCATTACGATACTCGTGTGCCGGAAAAAGGAGACTCTTGCATTCATAATCATGTAAATTTTCTGAGTACTAAAATATTCCGTTTATTATACATTTGTACACTTGTTCGTCTCATTGCCATCGGACTATGTGATACGTTTTTTTACCAACTCTGAGCAACGATAGATTATTACTTAGTATATGGATGCCGGGTACAATTACCTCGTTCAAATTGGTAATTCTTTGGTGATTTACATAAAATCCGCCCGCGGTTATGATTCGTTCGGCGTCGTGATCGGTTTTAAAGCACCTTGCCTTCTTTACAAGCTCGTACACGGTAATCCCTGGCTGACATAAGATGTCCACTATGTTCGCGCCTTCGAACACATCTCTTAGTTCCGATGCGTTTAATCTTACGAATGATTCGATCGATTTGTCGTACAATGCTGCGGACGCGCGCTTTGCGGCCAACAGTCCGTCCTCTGTAAAAAAAAAACCATTACAGTCAATAATGATAAGTAAATAACAAAGTTAACATAATTTTTAAAAAAATAAAAGTTACCTCCGTGTACTAAGCGTGTGACTTGCTCCGCTAGCAATTTCTGTGCTCTTCTCTGCTCCGGATCGTTCATATGAGTCTTCACAATATCAGCAATGTTATTCAGCGGTATGAATGTGAACAGCTTTAAAAATTTCTCAACGTCGGAATCCTTGGTTCTGAAGAAGTACTGATACAGCTGAAAGCTCGAGGATCTCGTCGGGGACAGCCACACCGCGTTCAGGAGGGACTTTCCGAACTTCTTTCCGCCCTCGGCCGTTATGAGCGGCAACGTTATACCGTAAACTTCCTTCCGCGTGCTTTTCGTGATCAGGTCGTAGCCGGACATGATATTGCCCATCTGATCGCTACCGCCGATCTGGAAGCGACACTTGTAACTCTTCATCAGCTGAAGCCAGTCGTACGCCTGGAACACCTGATACGTGAACTCCGTGAAGCTCATCCCTTCGTCGGAGTTCAATCGCGACTGGACGGAGGATCTGCCCAGCATTGTGCCCATCCGAAAGTACTTTCCGACGTTTCTGACAAACTCGATGACGTTCACGTCGGTATACCATTCCAAATTGTTTATTATAATCGGGGGCATCAGCGCCGCGTTCCTGTCCCTCCAGAAATAATCCTCGTGATTGTTAAATATAGTCTCTATATTCCTCGTGATGGACTTGATGTTCTCTTCGATTGCATATCTCTCGATTTCGACGCGTTCGGACTTCCTGTGACTAGGATCGCCTATCAAACCCGTGGCACCTCCCACGAGGGCTATAACCTGATGCCCCGCACGTTGCCAGTGCAAGAGATTCATCAGGATGAGCAGATTGCCGACGTGCAAACTGTCTGCCGTCGGGTCGAAGCCAGCATAGACGCATTGGGGTGATTTGTTCAGTAAGTCCACTATGTCATTTCTAAAATGATGTATACACAAATAAACATCAAGAGGGTGCATCATGAAGAAATGTAAATATTAAGTTTGACACAAGAAATAATTTCGTGTAAAATAATTTGACGTACTTACGTACTGTCATCGGGAAATATATCCTCGTACATGCCTCTCTCGTGAAGTTTCAATACATTTCTGCTGCAGTAAAACCTGTATCTGTTAGAATTAACGTTTCTGACAGTGGAGCATAACCTCAATAAAGAACGCGCGTTCATTTTGCTGTATATTTGTGACTCAAAAAGTGATACTAATTATTGTCTTCGAACTTTCGGAGATCAGATTTTCTTCTGAATTCCTCGCGTATAAGAATATGCGTACATAAATCCATACAATCACTATACGCAATACAAATTTGAGGATCACACCGTCGGGCGTAGATTCCAACCTCAAATAATGCGGCATCTGCTCTTTGCTTACATCTGCTTCACTTCACTATAGAGTACAGCAAAATACATGAATTTCAGGTGTGTTTAAATAAGTAATTAATTAACTACTTATCTTATATAAATATTAATTATATAGATTTTAATTTTATTTAAATACCATTAATAAAATGCAAGCTGCCATTAAAGTAATTATATATTTTATAATCTTAAAATTAAATATTATGTATTAAATTTATATATTAAAAGAAGCAACTCTGTTCTGTTCAAAGAGAGAGAAAACTTGTAATTTTATAATTTAGAATATTTTAAAAAATAAGTGTAAATGAAGCTGTTTATTGTACTTCAATATATTTACAAAAGAATACATATATCTAAGCATGTTAAATATCAGGCCAAACATTTCTGCATACAAATTGCTATTATAGTATAACAAATGTAACCTTGCTTATCAGTATCCTATTCTGGAGGGCGGTGTAGCAAAATATTTCTTGTTTCTCCTGAAGGTGCGGCTGTAAATAAAAGTTAAATTTTGAAATAAGGAAAACACGTTAAAAAATATACATACGGACAAAATATAATTTACATGTTGCTCACCTAGAAGTGATAGGAGTATTGAAGAAACCGCGGGAGATACTTCGCTTGAGAAGTGACTCTGTGGATGGCGTATGCTTCAATTCTCCCGTTTTCGGGGTGGAAATGCCATTGGAGTTTTCGTTCGAAGGATTCACGTAAGTCGCCCAATAATCCGATGGAATTTGGAGTAAACTCTCTACTATCTGGAACGTAAAATACATCACATTACATTTCTTATATCGGTCATTTATCAGGCGCGTTTATCAGAAATTTCTCTTACCGCGACTTGCTGCCCAGTCTCTTTGTAGATGTCGGACGGCTCCTGGGAACTGAAACCGGCTAAGGTCGGCCCGAAGACCTTGGCGAGATTGCTGATGGGCATTTTACATTCGGCGCTACTCGCCACTCTCTGTAAATGTAACATCAAGAAGGCCAGGGTATCCCGGTTTGGCCGTGGCAGCTCCGATATCGCCTGATAAAGGGCGGCGTCAACGGCGGCGTCCTGTTTGTCCTTCAGTTGTGTCGCACGCACGAAGTCGCCCCGCAAAAAGGCAGGGATCAGCGGGTCACGTAATGATCTGTAAAATATAAAAATTTAAATAAATATATATATACTGTACCCTTCTTTATTTATTAAGTATACTCTATTCTATTTCTCAGGTAACGTACCTGAGAAAATCTTTCAAGGTAGAGCATATGGTCGTGATATCGACGTTGGAAAGATTCGGGGCGCCTTTGCCCTTCAGGAACTTGTCCTTGAGACACTTGACATCCGCGACTCCTCCGTTCACTCTGTACAATCCCTGCTCGTTCAATCCGCGTAACTCAATCTCGTTGATGCAATGAACTATGATGGAAGGTATCATAGGCGGTATCGTGGGCGTGTAATCAGCTATAGAGCCCTGTGTGTGAAAATGGTATTTAGTGGAGGTACACCGGACGCAAGAAATGTCTCATTGATGTAATAATTATAATGATATACTCACGGGCATACCACGTAACGTAGGTGTATTTCCCATTGGGATACATGGCGGCGGTACTGAATCTTTACACTCGGCATGAGCTGTAGCTCTACAATCTCGGCATTTGTATACGATCTTCCCAAATCGGATTCTAAATAAATAAATTAAGACATTAAGATTATCTTATCGAATTACAAGCGATTTTTAATACGTGTTCATGTAACTGAGAGTAACTTTACTTTTTCCCGCAGGGTGTGCACGTTTCCGGCTTGATAACAGTTTTAGCTACGAAGTGATGATTCCTAGACATTTTTAAATTCATGGTATATCCACCGATGTTTGGACTTGGTTTCGCCAAATCCTCCGTGTCTGAAGTCGATGTAAGAATGTCAGCCTTTGGTGCTGACGGCTAAAAATAAAAAATAAAAAATTGTTGCGTATTTCAATTACGCGCATATATTTTATATGCAGAGCACAATTATTTATGTCACATGATTTAGTACCGCTGTGTCAAATGGCATTGGGTTCGTATCTATGTGCGACAGTTTCGATTTGTTGTGCTCCGTACTGCTCTTACGCCGCTTGCGTGAATTATGTGAGGGAGTTTGGAGGGGATCTGCGTTCTCGTCACCGGGTATAGCCTCGATCGTGGATGACGCAGTAATTGCACCATCCTTCGGCATGACTACGGTAGTAGTCGCTACTATTCTATCAGACGAGTTCAATTCGGCGGTTTTGTGCGTTGCGCTGCGACGATGTTTCTTGGAATATTCGCTACTGGGACGATGCTCTTTCCACTCTCGTTTTTTGTGACTTGGCAAAATGCTGATGTCCAAGTCATCCTCTGATCTGGACAGACAGTTAAGATTACTCAGTAACGAACCGGTAGAGTCCAATTCCGCTATTGTGTTAAGCCTAAAAAAAAAAAGATAATACAATATAAATAGTATAACATAATGATTTAATATTGTCATGTAAATCTATAACCTATTCAGTTATAGATCTATCAGTCTTTGAGTATAAATGAGAATGCTCATATTTACTTGTCAATGGAGATGTCTTGAATACGCATGTTACTCTGACGATTCAGTGAAGTGTTATTAAGAAACTGTAATTTCTCCCTGGTTTCATCATTCAGACTTTTCCCTCTATCACTGAATAACAAATTCCTCGCAGTGGTAATTTGTCTCTCCTGGAAAAGATGTAAAAAGTATAAATGTGAATATTTTATTGAAACTAAAATATTCTTGGGAACAAAAAGAAGTGTCAAAGCTACCAAATTGTCTCTCTGCTCCTCGACAGCGCGACGCTTGCGCTTCTCCTCCTCCAAGTTACTTCGAGCATGACGCATCTTCCTATCGAGCGCCGCAATCTCATTATGAGCCTTATCCAAAGCTGAATGGAGTCGTTGGCATTCTTCCACTGAAGCCAGCCATTTCTGTCTCATCTCCTCTTGATTTAAAGCGAATTGCAGGAATTCTGTGCAAAGCAACACACGTTTACATCTATAATATGTTCCACATCATAATTGTAGAAAATTTTACAAAATTTTAGAAAATTCCATCAGGACTGTCGCAGAAGAACTGATAAAATAATAATGGAATGGTATCAATTGTACAATCAAATGTACAACTATTAACGAACCTTCTTCGCAGGCTCCATTTAGCAAGACGTTCGTACATCTCACCAGCTCGTCGTAGGTAGCCAAAAGTGACAACGACGTCATTTTCTTGTGCTTATCTTGTCGTTTCTTCCGCGAACTATTATTCTGCTGACATGTCACCGGTCTGTAAGGCACTTAGCGATCCGTTCGTCGTGATCAATAGGACACAAACGGTTCAATGAAACGTTCGAGCCGTAGGAGTCGTACGATCAACCGTACGCGTTGGCCGGCGTTGGGAGTTTTGAAAGTCGTCCCTTTTCTAACCGTTAAAGAGTCGACAGAAACGACTTCTGGCGGAGAAAATTCGAATTATGGTTACTGCCAACCGGTGTACGTAAAATTCTACGTTTCGCGGGCTGTAGAAACTGTCGTGAAAATTGAAGGCAAAAAAAATTGAAAACTGAAAAATTTAAAACTAATTAAATATAATTCTAATCTCAGCTCATTCTAGATTTTACAAGAAGAAAATAGTGTGATACGAAATATATCTCTATCGTTAAAATAAATTTGTGTTCCTATGCGAATTAAGATTCCGTTCGTCCTTGAGAAAAAAAAAAATATTTTAACAAATTTTTTGTATCTGATTATGCAGATTTAATTTTGTGTGCTTATAATTAAGTAACATTAATATAATCTGTATATTTTTATTATTCTTTTAACTCAATACGATAAAATAAATCAACAAAATAAAATTGTTTTAGTAATGTAGTTTTTAGAATTCTTATATATTAGTGTTGTACATAAAATGCGAAATAATATTTCAAAAAATATTGAAAATTATAAACAAAATCCTAGATACATTATATCTACAATTAATTCTACTTATTCATTTGCTGCAACAATGACACAACTCAAAAAAAGTTTTCTAGAAAATAAATTTCAATTTTTTAAATCATTAAAATTTTGCAATATTAACTTTGAAATGTAATTTTGGAATAAATTATTGTAGAGAAATAAAAGTTATGTTCTTTTAAAGTATTCTTTTTTTTCTGTTTCCATTCTTTTTCTGTAAGCAACTCAAAAAAGACAATTTTTGAGTTATGATTGTTACAACAAATGAGCTATATTTTTTATATATTGAAATAAATATATTATAATTGTTTTAATGTTTAATATATTACACATTAAAAAATTGACTGTTTTCATACAGATACTCAAAAATTAAATTTGTATATAACATAACATTCATTACTCCATTGAGTATTTAATTATATAACAAAATTTCTAAAAACTTTTGTTTATCGATTAAGTTTTAATACCATTTGGAGAACATAAATTATCTTTTTGGATATGTAACGTCTTAATTTTGGAGATCACGGAAGTAAGCTCTGCCTGTACATTTGCTATCTTTGCAGCAAGATAGACGGATTCCTGGAAACGTTTCTGACTGTTTCTCAAGTTTTGCGGGACCAGAACACCGAACCATTTTATAGGGTCCCCTGGTCCATCTGCGTCATCGCTTAACTTTTTAAAACTGATGTCAAAACTTGGCACAGTATCATTATCTTCATTTGTTGTTTTAGTCTCCAAGTCAAACAAGGATGTCACTGTGTCTTCATTATTTGGAACCTGTAACATACTGATATTCTCCTTTCCACGAATATATTTTGCTTTTGCCAACTCAATGTGGCCATCTTTCAGCAACGTTTCCATTTGAATATTCCCATAAACTTTCTCCTCCATCAATTCTAATTTACGTAACATCAACTCGTCAATCTCTTCTGATACAACATCCACGTTTTTAGTCATATTGCAATCTGCGATTACCATCATGAAAGTTTATAATTAATTAATTATATGCAGAACAAGAATTTTATCTGAAAGCAAAATATCAAAAAGATTGTTATGTATTGCATGGAATTGTTGTTAGACATTTTATTTATAGTTGAAATAATTATGAAAAATGTGTAATTGAAAAGATATATTCATTACTTGAAAAAAAAAAGTTATTTTATATATTATCTGCTTTATATCAAATAACTTACATAAGCATCAAATATCAATTACTATTTGATGAATATCGTCTTAATCAATCTTACGTTCTCGAATATCTTGTTACGTTGACAAATTAAATCGGCTTCTCCAGTCTTTCGTATTCCTTGATCCCTCAAAGGATTTAATCAATCTCTCGTCATATTATTTTTACAAGTCAAGTGACTTTAAGGTTATTCTCAAAGTGCGTATCGCAGAATCTTTAACATGACAGCAAAGGTATGTACGTTCTAAATGAGTGTCTTAAAATATATTGACAATATTAATTAGACAATTACTATTCTTGCGTTGTCAAATCGTTTATAACTGTGCCTTTAAAAGTTTTAAAGTAGATATTTGGGAATTGCTGACTTTTCATGCACACGAAGCTCTCGGAGATACAACGATAATGTGAACCTTAACCTTAATTTCAGTATTTTGAAAATTTGAAGTGTCGTATAACCTAAAACAGGTTGGAGGTATCCTTAATGTCAATATCCTCATATAACTTTCTCGGGAAGAAATTGAAGGCGCTTATCTAACTGGAGGGAACATCCAAAAAAATTGAAAATACTCCAAACTCCCTTCACTCGAAGCGTACTCCAAAAAAAGATAGTATATTAACATTATATAGCAAGTGTTATATCAACATGACTACGCCGGTGTTGACAAAGCAACAGCAGAGGCACAGTTTGTCAGCTAAAAAAGGACCTGCCAAGGGTTTGCGGAACATTTTGGCACAACCTAATGTGAATTTCTGGTATTTTCTCATAATATTTTAATTTTTAAGCGTTTTCCATTGGTTTTAATAATGTGTGATAGTTATTGTTTTCCATTGGTTTTTAATATTTTGTGGTAGTTAATATTTTAAAAATTTGTAATAGTACCACTAAACATTTTATTACAAATAAATATTTATTTATAAACATTTTTGAAGCTAATATTTTACCAAAAAAAATGATTACAGTTTGTATTTATTTTTGTAAATATTTTTTTTAGGCCAGTCATCGGTGTAGAGGAGTATCCAGAGTTGGTGACAAATTTAAAAACGTATGACTTCTAAATATAGATAATGATGCAAAATATTAAATATTTTTAATTACTATGAAAAAAATTTTTATAGGATATTACCCACAATCGAACAGAAATCTAGATCTATCCCTAAGCATATACTTAAAAGCTTATCAAAAAATGAGCGTGCATTAGCTAGGAAGGAAGCCTTAGAAAAGGCACCTCCAAAGCCAGATATACTGTAAATACGCTTTATATTATTGTATAGCTGTAAGTAGTTTGAAATTTAGCTATTTCAACTGATTTATGAATTTTAGGAAATACATGATTATAGGCATTAATAAAGTTACTCGATCCTTGGAGAAGGACAACGTATGTAGCGTCCTATTGGATGCTACTGTTGAGTCGCCGTTAATAATAAAACATATTGTTACCATGGCAGTGAACAAGGAAGTACCTGTTCTTTTGCTACCCATTCTGAAACTGGTCACATTGGAAAAGTTGGGATTTGCCACGACAGCTTTTGCTTTAACGGTAATGAATTAGTACTCTATTCCATTTTAAGTACATATTTCCGCAGATATTTCTTAGAGATTTATTATTACTTGCAGCAAGAGGTAATGCAATGTCCAGATAATGCTTGCCATCCGTTATACAAGTCGATAGCAGAAGCCTTTAAAGATTTTAAATTGCCAAAAAGTTTGCTGCACCGTTTTATGCCCGACGACGGCGCAATAAGTGAAACGAGGATCACAGTTATGAATTCTGACACAAATCCAAATATTTCGAAGCCAGAAAAATCTGTTACAGTATTTACAGATGTATACAAGTACAGATCTTCACGAGACAAGAGAGCTTTCATACCGCCAACGGTCAACCAAAGTTCTCGAGTCTCTCAAACGCCATCGGATGACTTTATTCCTTTAGGGAGTGACTTTGATTCTGCTAACGACAAAAATTTTGCCAATACGTCGAAGAATGCGAGATATGTAAATATCAGCAAAAGTCCTGAAGTCTCTCAAACACCATCGGATTTTATTCCTTTAGACAATGACTTTGAGTCTGCGAGCAACAAAATTTTTACAAGTACGTCGAAGAATGAGAGATATGTAAATACCGACAAGGAAAAGAAACATACAAGTGAATCTGAAAATATGGAAGAAAATCAGTCATTTAAAAAATTTAAATTAATCAGTAATAATGCAATTTCAACTAAACATACAAAAAATAGATTAAAAAGACCAAAAAATGACGAACCTAACTACTTATCATTAAAAATAAAGCGTATACAAGGAAATAATAAACGAAAAAAAGCAAATAAATTTAATAAAAAGAAGGAATTACTAAAAAAAGGAAGAACACTTGACAGTTGAATGATATTCTAATTGTCTATCAAGCAAAAGATCTGGACACAAGTCTCACTATTTTATTTCGCATATAATACGGAGGAATTTTCAATGGAAAAATATTCCACTGGGACGAAGACGAGAATGAAAAATATGAATTAAATCCTAGGATAACTCAGTAAAAATGGATTGTGATGTAGGAAATAAAAAAAATCCGTTTTTCAATCCATTTAAGTAGACGTCAATTAAAAGTAGATGATCACGTTCGTCGTATTTCATGTTAAAAAATTGGCAATCAACGCTGCTTTTGAAATTCACCTGGTTAACAAGTTCCAATCTTTGACAACTAATCCTTTAATAGTGATTAAAAAATTTAAAGAATATTTTATATAATTAAAAATTAATCAATATGTTAATGTTTGTGTATATCTCTCAAATTTTTAGTGAAATATGTGACAGAAAAATTAATTACGTTTAATTTGTAATTATAAAAAAATAAAACAAAAATATAATGTACAATAATCGAAAAATATATATTTTAATACAGATTATTACATTATATACAAGAGTTAACTCTACTTTATGCATTATCAATGAAATAAATAAATACTTATATTAGTAAATAAGATTGTACATTTACTAATATAAGTAACAACTCTCAGTTAAAGATTCCGCCCCAACAGTAGAAACAGTAATATTTACTATATTTTTACAATTGCATGTGATATCAGATTAGCCTATAAATTATATATTGTATGTATCAAAACGAATTCAAATCAGTCTTCTGTGTATTAATTTTAATAACGGTAACAATTAGATATCAGATGAATGATAATTCGTTTATAATACCCGTATTTCTCTCAATATAAACCTTTGACACGCGATGCTTTAAAAGAGATGCTTTGCAAGAGATAGGATAGTGTTTTTATTATAAAACATTAAAATATATCCTAAGCATAGTAATCTTATCTCATACAGGTAAACTTGATTTCACAGACGATCTAAACATTCTAGTAAAGAACATGAGACCGGTTGTACCACCTGGTATATGACTTATTAAAAAGGACAACGTAGCTATCAACTGCAAGATAGCACATAATACTGTCAAAGGTGTCGATTGCAAATGCAATGCAAAATAGAGTGTGCCTGTTAACGTTGCAAAGTACGACACGGTAAAGTACCTCTTCTCAGCTAGGAATAATGATTTCATATAACTTGATCCCCACAAAAAACAAAAGCTGGAAGAAATCTCTTATTAGAAATATAGTATTCCTCTCGCATATATTTACATGTATCTCACATTACTTTTTAAATATATGTATATGTACCTCATTAGAAAGAAGAGACTCCCTAAGGAATAAAGTAAAGCAAACTTTCTTGCTTTAAGTAATAAAACAGGAATATAAATCGCTGATAGACAGAAGCATAACAATCCCAGAAGAAAACACACGGCGAAGGATATGAGTCTTTGTGTCCTCGTCTATCAAAGTAAAAATATAATAAATTTTCTCGATATTCAGTGTCATTGATATAAATTTCATTCAACAAGAATGGTAGCGTAAAGTGAATTCTTAACCATTTTAATTATAAGAAAATTTTTTTATTGATAATAACGGATGATTTTTAACAAATTTATATAAAAACAAGTTCATTTAAAATTTGATTTCACAGATATTTTCTACAGAAAAACTTCGAATACCTACAGAAATTTGAAAAACGTCAAATACAATACTGCACATGCAAATAAGATTAAATTTGAACAAATTTCAATTAATTTAACCAGCGACTGATTCAACCGGCATTGCTCAGAGCAAATCTAATCTTTCTTCCCACGTTTGAAATGAAAAACTCAGTAGTTTGATCTACATGTTTACAAAATATCATAATAAATATTACTGGACAAGTTAATCGTTTGATTGAATTAATAAGAATTTAGAGCAATACCATATTAAATATTGAACGATCGAATCATCTCGCATTGCTACGTATATTAATATTTTTTGTGTTAATCAGAATTTTAACATTAATAAACATAAACTGCAAACATCCGTTGGTTGCCTAAGGTTATGAGACCATGCCCTACCATAGCAGGACAACATTCTCTCTGCGATCGTTGAACCCATCCTGCGTCCTCCTCCGCCTCGTCAGTATTTTTTCCGAACCATTTTCCAAAATTCGCTCTCGATATCGCTACCGATGGAACAGTGATCTTATATTGCTTTTCATGTTTACTGCTGAGAAGATACTCGTTCAGCTCCTTATTCAGATCGGCCATTTTGACATATCGCTACCAGAAAGGATCCGAGAGAGGACATGACGGCTGTAACGCTAAAATGCCCTCGTGCACTAACGCCCTCTGAAGAAGTGGATCCAAATTACATAGCAAAATCAAGATTTCTGCACAATTTGTGGTGCGTGTCCGTACTACATCCATTTTTCGAGTCTGCTGGAACTTTATACACGAAAAATTATGCATATATACATTTCATTGAGTACAATTTCCGAAACGCTGCGAAACAGGCGAGAAAGGATCTAACATCATTTTCCGTTTCATTTATTTGCAAATAAATTACGTTACAATTAAACATTGAGCGCATGTTGTAAAAAGAGGCCAGTGCCATTATATCCGTCAGTACTCAGTCTGTAAAACGAAGTACGAACGTTTTATGTGGCCGCGCAGCGCGCCGAGTGCCGACGCGACCACGTCGGAGTCCCACAAGCAAAAAGCCTCGTGCTACCTAGCGTCCCGTTTATATACTGATTCGTGTTATTCGTGTAGCCAGCGCCGAGCCAATCAGAATGCGTGGTGGCGGGCGCAGGCAGGGTACTATATAAACTGCGCGTACGCGGCGCTCGCGCGATAGTCCGGCCGCCGACTCCGCGGAGTCCGTATCAAGTCTATGGGAGCGTCACGTCGTGTCACGTAGGGACGATGTACAGCCTCAGACAGCTCATGCGCTGTAAAAAATAGATGAACATGAATGCATTGGAGGAAATTTATATACGGGTACATGAAATCTATAAATTTATTTTGATTTTTCTATCATTTTATTAGATTACAATTAATTCGCTCGCACGGTCGGCCACAACTGTTCGCCGCGTCGCG